GCGTGGCATCATCAAGATTAAGAAAACATAATTAAACCATTATCAACTTTTTTAATTATGATAACACAATGAATTAGTAAGCAAGATAGCATCCTCTGTGAAATAATATTTAAAATTAATGAAACTCATTGTTTGTAATGCATTATCTTCAAGCATAGTATACTTTTAGATTTAAATTTATCAATGTTACCTAATGACTTCTATACTTAGATATACAAGTGCATTAACGAAAGTTTTCTATTTTGTATATTATGTGATGTTGTATTTGCTGTTTGAATGCGAATGATCAATCAAACGAATGGGTTGTATGCTCTAAGGTCATGTTAACTGTTGTTGGTGGAGGTCGAGTGAGTGCACGAAAAATATAATAATTTACATCTTTTGGAAGCCAGGTGTGCAAAATCCGACCCTCGAGCTAAAGCTCGTTCCTTTAGTTAATCCATCAGCAAACACTAATGACCAGCAGCAAACAATCCTAAAAAAATAACATAATCAGATTAAATCGATCAACGTAATAGGTAAAAAAAATCCCCCTCCGTTACCTAAGTAATTGAATTAAACTGAACTTCGAAATAACTTTCACTTTTTTCGCTCATGATTTTAAACGATTCGATTAGAGAAATTGCTCTAAACTTGTTTTCCTCTACACCACTTCGAAATATTTCGTGTCTCATATGAACACTGCATATTTGTGTTTCTTTTCGATGGTCGCGTAAATATTTGGTATATGTATAAGTAGCAATTAGTTCAAAGTCTTGCTCTTCGATGTGTCAAAGTAGAAGCCAAATGCGACTAATTTCGAGCAATTGCTGTAGATCAAAACATTGCGGCTATAAATAAGATGCTAATGTTATTGCCAAAACACAATGGACGCGATTGCTGGGCTCCAACTTTCGTTTGGGATCTTCTAAATACCTTTTTATAGATAATTTAATTGTTTACTTTGCTAATAGGTTTGTTAGAAGATGAAGCAGTGGTAAATTCACGAAGGACAGATTTGCGAAATGATTTGTAATAATGAGTGATTCAATTGGCTCGCGCATAATACAAGATTACCTCTTCAAGGTGAACGAAATTTGCATTTGAAAAAATAAAAGTAATTATCGAGCGGTTGTAGAAACGTCCATTCATAGGATCTTATTACGAAACTTATGCTTGTCGATCATCGGTTACCAGGAGGTAGCGATTCGCGAGAGAGAAAGTTAAAAAACCTTCGTGCAACAACAGTCGCACAAATTTGCATGTATGAAATGCTAATGAAAATCATTACGGCCATTCTTTCCAAATGCATTCTGCAATAATAAATTTAAAAAAAAAATGAGAAAACGAATAAATACGTTTGCAGTTTACGACTCTACGAATGGTAATCTTTAATTTACGGTCCATATTTTCAGATGCGAACAATGGACCGACGTTCTTCATCTCTTGCATAAACCAGACGCTCTATGGATGTGATGCAATTGTTTTCGCAGGAATCGTCGCATCGAGCGGGAAATGCCAGTAAAAGAGTTTCCACAACGGAAAATGATCCGAGGTTTCTTCGACGCGCATAGGTGTACTTGCTATTCCCCGATCGTAACAATAAGCGGGGAAAGTAATTTTATGTGCAAAGGTATCTCGAGGATACGTAAGCTCATTAGGTATGCGAAACGAGTTGTCGTTTTCTTCCTCTTCTTGAGTGGAAGACCAGGCAACAGGGCGGCCCGCGCGCCGTTCGAATGCATACATATATATACCTAGGTATTTTCGCGCAGAAGAAATAAATAAAAATGGAATGAGTATCACATATTTATAAGTATAAACGTTCTCCCGTCGAAATTACTTCTTGCAACTAAAAATAAATACACGCAGCCAATATCTATTTCCTGACCATACTTAACTCGATTTATATATAAATCAACCTCGACGCGAATTATTCCAACCTACCTATCCAGTTTTCTGTGAGCGCACCTTTGGCCAAGTTTTTTTTCCATTCTCTATCCACTCTCTTTCGTCCTCACTCGCACTCATTACTCTCTTTCCAAAACCGACCGAGGGGGATTAAAAACCCCCGTGCATTCACCGGAGGATGGAAAATAGAACCAAACCTACCACTTTCAACAATGATTTATTGTATATATGTACCTGAGCATTCACAGAAGAGGATATATAGAGAGAAAAAAAAAACAACAACTGGTACTAAACCGTAGAAATGGGGGAAGTTTGTCGAGTTTAATGGATTATCTGAATACGGAATACAAAATTAAGCTCCAATATGTTGCGGACCCGTTTGCCGCGACAAAAGGTAAATTGATTTATGATAATGGAACCAAAAAGGGGGAACCATTAATTTAACTAATCAAAAATTCGGTACGAACGAAAAGAAAAAGCAATGCATCTATTAACCGATCTGAAACCGGTATTGGTAATCACCTTCGGTAGTTTGTAGTAATGATCGATTGCAGTTAAACCAGTTTAGTGTATTACGCGAAGCGTCCAATTGTGATCTAGAAATGGAAGCATCTTCCTTTCCATTAGGCATTTAAAAGTATAGATCAAGGTTCAGAGCGTTTAAATACATGCAAGCAGCAGTAAGCATACTTTGCATTCATCAATTCTGCACGTTACTAAATCACCTACAACTATATTTTAAAAAAAAAATCAGCAGAACAATAGCTTCATATTAATCAGTTCAAATTGTTAATTGCTTTTTGTGCAACTCGATAATTGATTATTGTTGAGCATGTGTTGTTTTTTTTTTGTTGTTGTTCAAGCACCATTAAAGTTTACTACTCTGGTTAAAGAAGTGGCACACAATAACGATTTTCAACGCCCAGACGTAACGGCGAGATCAAATGTGGTTTCTCCCTTCGGGAAATAAAGGAGAGGAAGGATGGATGGATGGAAAAAAAATGGAAAGGAACGGCCCGAATGCGGCTTCTTCAAAATTAAGAGAAAGTCGACCCACTGAATGACAACATGAACGTGTCTGTGTAAATTACAGGCGATTTAACAAATGTAATTTCAATTGTGATAAATTATGAAAAGCAACGACCGGTTGAGCGAAAGTTCGGATCCCCGGAGATCTTTTTTACCTTCTCGTTTTGTAACGGCAATTTCTAAACTCCGTACATAATGCTCTTTTTAAAACTGTTTGTGCATGAAGATTCCACATTTCCAGAATACACATTTTATACTAATATTATAAAGTCCTTCGACGAAATATATAAAGAGGTATATTCCATCAAATAAAATAATATCTAAAACGATACACAAAATGTGCGATAGGAAACAGAATTATCAAGTTGATATAAATAATTTTATACAATTAATCAATGGAAAACGATGCGTGATAAAATACTTTAGATAAAAGTAAAAACCGTTAAATGTAAATAAATAGCAAACGTAATCTCGTATCACGTACTTTTTTTTGTCGTTGTAATTACATGTAATACAACTTTGTCGTAAAGTACATCCTACAAAGGTTATCTAAAAAATTGGAATGGTTTCGTGGAAATTCGTATAATATATGAACATTGCATTGCATCATTTCCAATTACTTTATAATTTTAAATTCGAATAGAAAAAAAAATATGTAAACTAATTACTTTAATTGATAAATAAATCATTCTTAATTAAATTACAATTATTTTTCAATTCTCATTGTTCACATTTCACATGAAACAAAAGCATTAAGTGTTTTACAAATACATTGAATAACAAATTCTTGTTTGTGTAAACAATATTAACATTTTTAATGATAATACAATCATCACAAAGAACAATTTCAATCTAATAAACACTATTAAAATGTATTTAAAAATTTCAAAACATTATTAATTTAGTAATTTAAAACATGAAGAACAAGATGAAATATTTAAAAAGTAAACTGATTATGAATTAACATGCATCAAAAATCATTTTAAAACAGCTTTGGATTTAGCTATTTTGATACATTAAACATTTGTTATTTATTTGAGCAATAAAGTAAAATTTATGTTCAACAGAAGAAATGTAAGTAGTTCTTTTAATTTCAGAGACTTTAGAAAATGCAATTGTTTTGATGTGCGGAGAATGCAAATTGGCTAAGATGCAATTTAGGTTATGTTTATATTAGTGTAATTGCAAAGCACAGATTATTGAAGAGCTGACACTGGCTAGTACGTTGGTTAGTTATTAATACATTAATTATCATTATATTGTTTTTTTTTAGTATGTAATTTACTAATAACAACTGTCAAAACAACTTATTATTTGATCTTTTCTTCAATTTATTATATATGCAAATTGTGTCATGTAATGGTAACTTATGCAGTAAAGGTGTTTTGAATTGTAGATGCAAATAGGTTATGTTTATGTTACTATAAATGTGAAGCTTCAATAATGCATGGGGTGTTGGTGTTTGTTTTGTTCTTTTCAATGAGCAAGGGTGTAGCAAGTGAAGGAGTTTCTGCAAGCCGTAGTAGTTGCAAGTGCAGAATTGGTGGAACTTTCACTTTCCACAGGCTGAAGTTTGCATGGAAAGAAAGTAAGAAATGTAATTATGGTTTGGTGATTGATTCGGAGATGGGTTTAAGGATGGATGTAAACAGCATTCTGATGGATGCACAGAGTTTGATGGCGAATGAGGTTATTTATTTGAATGGAGATGCTGGTGTTGATGGATTGGTGCATTAGGATGCAAACGCAATTGTAGGTTGGGAAATGCGAAAAGGCATGGTCGCAATGCTCGTGTCGTGGGGAGGAAAAGAGGAGAAGCGTCGTGCGTACAAAACGCCGGTAAAAACACAAACATGTTTGGCATACCGTAAAGCACGCAAACACACAACTGGTACAACAAACACACACACGCAGTATATTAACCGCCACTTTTCGACTCATCCGCTTATTTTCCGGAGGTCGGGCGAGGATCGCAGCGGCGGCGGCGGCGTCCTGGGGGCCGAACCGTGGTGGCCCGCGGGCAGCCGCCAGCCCCGGGGGCCAACGCCATCAGGAATATATACTAGAAACATGTAACTCACCTTAAATCTGTGACAGAAACAAAGACAAGCGGTGTTGTAGCCACGCTGGTATATTACAACAAGCACTGCCCTTATTCTTCCCAGGATTCACTCGTCAACACTAACTCGGCTTTCCGTACTGCACACAATTTACCCCAAACTCGATCCGAACGCACTGAATTATTATATTTTCCCTGGATTTTCGGCCACTTTTTCGTAAAATTTCCGTAGCACAGCGTCAGACAGTCACTCCATCCCCACTTCTAAACGTGAAAATGGCGGACACGGAGCACACAAACTCGTCTCCAAGCAACGTTGCCAACGACTACAGGACGCACTAAAAATCCCCAACCTAAAATCCAAATCCTAAAACCCACCAAACCACGCATCGCATTCTCTACGCATGACTCAACAACCCCCCATGTACCAATTTACCAACAATCCAAGACTTGACCACCCGCACCCCTAAACAGAAATCCCAAGAATCAGAAACAAATATCAATCACAATAGCACAACCATGAATTACAAGAAGGAAAAAAAAATATGTTACCCCTCAGCAACCATCAACCGATCCCACCCTTCAAAACTGATAAAGCGCAACAGCATTTTCAAGTTTTTATTTAATTAATTAATTAATTAATCCCGTTTGCAGTGTGGGGAATTCGCGTTCCCTGATTTCGGCAACGCCGCTAGCAACGCTTGTCCCAGTTATCAAGAAATGCACGATGGGAAATTGGCCATTACAATTTAATTGTTGTAAAGATTAGCTCCTTTCTGAAAGCTGGTGTCTGCATTGTTTACAAACTTTATCTGTTCATTATTAAGAAAGAGAAAACGACGAAAGATGAAAAGGAAAACAAAGAAACGGATAAGAATTTCGCTTTGTAATCACGTGCTTATTGTAGTATATGATAAACAGACGCTGTTGATAATTATCATTTGTTTTCAGGTTTCTTCAGAACCTAACGTTTCTTGATAATCGTTAACCGATCTGCAAGAACTTGCTTTTATGCTAGAAAAGGCACGTTTCTTCAATTCACAATTACCAGAACGTTTTTCGACCCTAACTGCATTTGCTTTATGCCTCTATACAATGCATGTAACAACTAAGGGTGCATGTTATAACAATATACATTTCGATTTTTTGAATTTGCAGAAAGTACTGGATTTGTTACAATATTTCGCTCCTAATTGGTCATAGACCACGAGGTCCTTCTGCCATGTGCATACGGTGCAATGCTGCCAGATTATATCAAGCACATTTTCCCATTAATTTACATAAAAACTAACGTTTCCAGTAATAACAAAATTTGCATACAGTTCTTATACAATAATGTTTGTTCTTTATTTAAAACTTTCTTAATTTGAAGCTTATGTCTTCATATATAAAACATTATTTGGTACTATTTTTCGTATATTAATATAATATTTTGATAAATATAGTAATTGTGTATTTATAACTTAGTATTTTTCAAAAACCAATGTTAAACTAATAGCATTTACTTTCAAGTTTCATTAAAAATTAAACATTTAAGCCTAAGTGAACAATTTGAATAGTAATTAATTTTTCACTAATCAAACATCATTTTTCAACCTGTCGGTTTTCCAAAAATTATGGGATTTATTTACCTTTTCTTAAATAAAATTTACCTGCCAATAGGTATATTTACCTGCGTCTGGCATCATTGATTGCAACGCATCTTATAGAACATAAATATGAAATATATTTCAAGCTTTGTAGAAAACTGTTTTATTTTAATTTTAAATTAAAATATTTCTTAAGTAGTTTAATAATTATAATATTATTATTGTTTAGTTGTAAATAAGTTAGTAATAAAACGAATTTAAATTGTTATTATTGCTATACAATACAACTCTTATCCGTGTTCGTTAAAACTAATTATTATATAAATAAGACTAATTAATGATAAGTAATTAACGTTTTAAATATTTAAAAAACTTTTTTCTAATATTATAGTCTTTTCAAACAACATCTAAGTATAAAAGTTGCATACAATTTGGCTTTTAATATTTTGGCGCGTATTTCATGGTACTTCTTTCGTATTGGTTATGATTATTTATCAACACAAGTTCAGCACATTTTACATGAGTTAAGTAACGATGGGAATAAATTTATTACCTGTACGTTATGGGCATTACGAAGGACACACTGATATCTGCTTCTCAGATGATGGAGAGTAAGTTTAAATTGTTAATTGTTTACTGGTATTTAATTATTTAAATTTGTTTCATTTAGTAAATTATTATCATGTGGAGCTGACGGAGAGGTGAGGATCTGGAATGGGTTTGATGATGATGACCCATTGCAAAATTGCATTGGTGAATTTGCCTTGTGCATTAAGCACAAGGGTGAGCACATCTTTGTTGGTACGAACACAAATTTGGTCCAGCAATTAACATATCCAAATGGAGATAGGAATGGAATATTAACTAGGTTTACAGCACATGTTAATCATATGTATATATCAGAAGCACATAATGTAAGATATTTTATTTAATTGTTGATAATTCATCTATTCAATTGAGTGATTAACAATGATTGTAGTGGATTGCTTTGGCGTCTGAAGACATGACTGTAAAGGTGATGGAAATAAGTACAAAGGAAACAAAAACGTTTACTATAAATGGACCACCATTGAGCGTATCGTTGTGCAAGAATTTGAAGAACTTGGCGGTCAGCTGCGGGGATGGAAAATTGAAGATCTTCAATATAGAAGACCAATCTCTAATTAAAGAAATTTCGGTAGTAGCGAAAGCCAATAGCTTTGAGAATGCCAAAGAGTTGTGTCGAATAGATTTCGACCAGAAATACAACAAATACTTCGCGTATCCAGATGGGAACAAAATCTCCATTCTCAACATATCCGATTGGAATGAAGCTTTCACCCTTAGTACAGACGCTATTGATTCCAACTATTCCTTAGTTTGTTTTTCACCTTGCGGTAATTACGTTGCAGCTTCAACTCTGGATGGTAACATTGCTGTGTGGCTTTTGCGCTCGCAAACCATCGTGGGTTTTGAAAAGCAATCTGACATAGCTATCACATCGTTAGCTTGGAATCCAAAAGGTAAACTAATTTAGCAAACTTAATACGATATTTAATATATAATGTATTATTTCAGGAAATGGTGAATTGGCATTTGCTGATGCTCAAGGAAATGTTGGGATGGCAACTAATTGCACAGAAACGGGAGCTGATGAAGATGATGGCGATATCCCGGACGAAGAAGGTGCAATAGAAGAGCAAAATTACGAAAGCGAAAATATCGATTTTGGAGATGTGCAAATCGAAGCTGAAGATGATGATGAGGATAACGAGAACGCAGTGTCTTTGGAGAAGTTGAAGAAGGAAATCATGGGACCTCTTGAACCTGAATTAGAAGCTATCGAAGCGGCAGCATCAAGATCTCCATCACCCAGAGCTCGATCTGTAACACCCGAAATACCTCTTCAACCTGCGTTTATGCCTTCTTCGACACCGGAACATCTAGACCCCAGATATATGTGCTACAATGAAGTCGGCATCATACGTTGTTACGGTTGTAATTTGGACGATGATGATGATGGTACAAGATCTATTGAGGTGGAATTCCACGACTCTCAAATTCACAGCAGCATGATGATACGCAACTACAAAGGATACACAATGGGATCTATTAGTACTGCTGCGTTAGCTGTAGCAAATAACACGTAAGTTAATTGTTTTGTGTCTGAATCAAAATCTAATGAGTTTACTTAAAGTGTGATACACGTCGTTCCATTGGGTTCATCTTCGGAAGAGTGGCACTTGGTTTTGGAAGATGACGAAGAAATCGTGTGCATAGCTGCTTCGCATAATTTGATTTGCTTAGCCACTGCTAACTATTTCGTACACGTTTCCACGATATTCGGCATCCAGAAGGCTGTGATCTCAGTGCCAGGACCAATTCTGACCATGTCCGCTATCGGAATGGTTTTAATCATCGCGTATCATTCCACTTCCACGAGGAAAGGAGATCAATGCGTTGAAACTATGCTAGTCAAATTTGAAGGTTTTTATTATTAATTATGTAAAGATTTCCATTCAATTAATTTTATTACAATCAATTTAGGAACAACCATTGAAAATCGTGATATGAAAGTAGCGCTTAAGCCAGGTTCTAAGCTTCAATGGCTTGGATTCACGGACGTCGGAACTCCAGCTATGATGGATTCAACTGGAATGGTATACTTGCACCCTCTGCAATGCAACCTGTGGATTCCGTTTTGCGATACAAAAAAACACGTACGATTCAGCTCTAATATTCCAAGCAAATAAATGTTAAACAATTTATTTTTAGCATAAAAGCCCAAGCGATGGATTTTTCATGACTGCAATATACGAAAGTCTGGGAACAATAAGAGGAATTCGATGTAAAGGCAGTTTGTACCCAGGATTCACGCCTCGTCCCACCTTGACTGAAATCGAATTCCAACCACCGTTCCTCGAAATTGGAACTGGGAAATCGCAGTACGAATCCAGCCTCTTCACCATGTCCACGTTGCAGATCGAAGGCATGGAAAAGAAATATCAAGAGATCGCATTGAAATCATTTGCTGTAATTATTTTGTTTAAATTAATTTCCTGATATATTAGTAATATATTTATTTTCAGTTGGCCATGAAAAATAATTTGGAGAAAAGGGCCGTGGAGTTTATGGAGATGCTGGGCAATCCGCAACTTTTGAATTTGGCTGTGAAATATGCTTCAAAGTTCGATAAAAGAAGACTCGTTGAGAAGTTGATGGACGTTGCTTCTAAAATCGACGCCGATGCGGATCCTCCAACCTTTAATGTAAGTTTCGAATAATTTAAAAGAAAAACAAATTAAATTTTATTATTTTTATAAAGGGTTCTTCTGTTTCAACACCGAGCACCAATGTCATCAAACCGAATAAGAAATTGTTGTTAGAATCTACAAGCAAAATCTTAAATAAATCCAAGTCGCAGGTTTCTACTCCCACACAAGGCACACCTTCAAGTTCGATGATTAACGTGAGGATAATCATTTACAATATTTGCATTTGTTTTAAATTAATGATTTTCTTATGCAGAATACTCCGTCCACCTCGATAATATCAACGCCGGGGAATATCACGTTGAGCGACATATCAATCCTTCAAGATGAGCCGAAAAATCCGTTCCTGAAGAGTCTTAAAAAAACACAGACGAGCGCCTTCAATCCGCTTAGTTTAACAGACAAATTCGCTGGCATCGAAAAAGAAAATGATTCTGTGGTAATAAGATAATTAATATTTTATTTATTTATTGTATTGTATTTAAATTGCAGAAGTCGGAAAAGAGGAAACAGCCGGATTCATCACCGAGCGAGAAGAATAAGGAGAAGCAAAGAAAATTGGATAGATTCATGTTTTCTAAGCGGAACTAAGTGTCCATTTTTTATTTATTGATATACTACTATTAATGAGTTTTAATATTTATGTTTTATAATTGCTTTGGACTTTGGTATAAACCCTTTCCGAACATCTCGATCCATACTGTACCATTGGGATATTCGTATTTTGCTAATGTTTCTCCAGTAAACGTCGTTCCATAACCAGCATACTAAAAAAAAATATATATAAAACTTATTTAAAACGCTAGAAGAAATTAACTTACCGTTGGTAACTGGTATTTAGCATTTTTTATAATGAGCGGATCCACGAAATGCTCGTGTTGTTGATCGACGTATTCTATGGTCCTACCATTCATAGTACCGGAAAGTGATATGTAATCCCACATCTGAAGATGTTGCACCATCTCGCAAAGACCGACGCCACCCGCATGCGGACACACCTTGACTCCTAATTTGTGCGCCATCAAGTATACGCTCAGTATTTCGTTGACTCCTCCGAGTCTTGCAGAATCGATCTGGCAAAACTGCATGGCATCCGCTTGAAGGAATTGTTTGAACATTACACGGTTGCAGCACATCTCTCCGGTTGCTACACCGATTCCTAGAGGTTTCATAGCTTTGGCTATAGCTTGATGACCTAGAATATCGTCCGGCGACGTCGGTTCTTCGATCCACGTTATCTTAAATCCTGCCAACTTCTTCATCCAATCGATGGCTTCCTGCACATCCCACACCTGATTTGCATCCACCATCAACTCTTTATCATCACCTATGATACTTCGCACCAACTTTAACCGCCTGATATCATCGTTCAAATCTCTTCCGACCTTCAACTTGAACGCTGTAAATCCGGCAGCTAAATATTTATGACACAACTCCTCCAGCAATTCGTTCGAATAACCCAACCAACCTGCATTAAAGTTGTCAATTATTTTTTTTTAGTTTAAATTTAGTAATTTGAAAACGTACCGACTTGCGTTGTGTATGCCGGATAACCATCTTCTTTTAATACATCCAACCGCTCATCTTTGCCCACCTTCGCATCTCTCAATATGGTTATAGCCTCTTCCCTGGTTATCACATCTGTTATATATCTAAAATCGATGGCAGCAACTAACTGTTCCGGCTCTAAATCTACCAGAAGCTGCCAAAGTGGTTTATTTAGTAACTTTGCCCATAGATCCCAAAGCGCGTTTACAATAGCCGCTACAGCTAAATGCGTGACTCCTTTCTCAGGACCAATCTGCAATAAGAACAATGCAAAACGTACTTCGAAATTATACGTGTATATTGTACCCATCTAATTTGGCTATCGCTAGTTAACGATCTCCAAAATGAACCAAAATTCTTATAAATATCCACAGTAGTTTGTCCAACAATGAGTGGAGTCAAAGATTTGATAGCAGCTACCACGATTTCCGTTCCTCTTCCCAAAGTAAATGTTAATCCATTACCCTTTTTTCCCATGGCCGTTGTGATGGTAACGTAAGCGCAAGAATAATCTGGATCGACGTGCTAAATTATACAAGATTAATCACATTTACCAATAATGAATATATTTAAATACCATTGCATCAGATCCATGGGCCCCCAAAGATGTTGGGAAACGAACATCTTTCACGTCCAACGAGACGATCTTCAAGTTTTCCGTAGTCATATTCATCTTCAGAATCAACTCTCACAACATCTACCTGCGAGTGAAGAGCGCTTTTTATATTCGTTTGCAATTTATTAGCGTTGTGCAGTTCATCACATGATTCGCAATTGTTTAATACCTGTTTATTTACATTTGCTATTTAGATAGTCTGTCGCATAACAAAAATAACGTTGATCCTGTTGATGCTGCATATGGAAAATAAATCAATATTTATCCAAAATATACTTAAATAGCGTGCTAACACGAAATCAGTATAAAAAAAATAAAAATTCCAATACGCTTCAAGTATAATTGTTATTGATGTTTCGATATTTATAAAGACAACAATAACAACGCAAAAATATATTTTAGCTAGATTCTAGGTCCGAAATGAATATAAAAGTTGATTAAAAAAATGCAATTTTAGAAGCAAAAAGGATATCATTAAAATATGATACTTACATAACCTTAATACTCAAATAGAAGTCCTTATCAACTATTTACAAAGTGTAGAGTACATACTTTTTAAACTAACTAAAATGTATTGCACATTTGAAAAATACTTTTACATAAAACATAAACTTTTATTTATTCAAGTCAAATAAGATCTTTAATTTCTATATTCAACAACAAATTAAAGATAAAAGTATATGCAGTGATATGCATTTTAAAGACAAAAATATGGCCTTTCTAACTAGGATATCATCCACTATAATCTGTGAAAAATGTCAAAGTTGAAAGTGCACTATTCTCATGTTTTATTTAATTTCAGGATAACTACACAAGCTAATTACATAATTAAATATAAATAGTAATCAGAAAACTGCCACTTGGTTTCGCTGAAATACATTAAGCATAATATTTCGATTTTGAAAAGTTCTGAAAATTTGTAGAATTTTGCGCAATTTTATTAAATAACTTTATTTTTGTTTTTTCTTAATAACTCGAAAAATAAACTACTTTTATTTACATTTTATTGCAGAATTAGGTAGGCGCAAACGTTGCGTAACTCGCAACTTATATACAGAATGTTACGTTAGAGAAATTTTAAACTTTTTCTTAATTCGCCGGATATAGGCAACCTAATAAACAAACGTGTATGTTTGGTTGCATAAAGTATGGCGAATACTTATTTATTTTTTAAATTATTTTTCTTAATTTTTTGAAAACAGGACATGATAGATATTTTCATTTTCTCTTAATAACTCTAAAAAATAATGCACTTTTTTTACATTTTAATTAATTGTTAGGTAGGGGCTAGAGTTGCGCTAATCGCTATAGAAAAACAAGTTACATTCTGAAGAGTTCTCATATTTTTCTAAATAACTCAAAAAATATTATATATAAACTTCTCTATTTCATTATTACGTAAAAAGGGCTCCAGTATTACGCAATTTATTGTATATTATGTATAATTATAATATCATAGTAGCATGCTTTCAAAATTACATAAAATCTCCGTATAATAGTTAAAAGTTTATAAGATAATAATTTTCAAGTTAGTATAGATCAACAATGAATGCAAGCAAAGAGTTTGATAACTTCACTTTTTCTCAATTGAACGAATTTACCGATGATTGGATTTACAAAACAACGGAATACGAGTGTCTTTTCAAGAATCAAGCAGATGAAATGCTTTTAGCTTATTTTGGAACACAGAAGAATAACGAAAAAGTGCGATATAATTAACTAATTTCAGTTTCAAGAACGTATATTTTTCAGTGTGAAGCAATTCATAAGCGTGTGAATCTTTTATTCCATTTAGAGGGAATGATTCAGAGACATGTAAATAGGATCGACAAGAAGCAGGAGACTTTATTAAAGTTGGTTTTGAAGCTTGAAGAAAAAACGAAATTGCTTTATAAACCTAATATCAACGTGGATAAGCCCAGAGCCAGGATGTAATTGATATTAAATAGGTATTAAATATATTTAGTTTTTTTTTTCAGTTACGTAAATATATGTAAAATTAATAATGCGATGATGGATATGAAGAATAACATGCAAGATATTAATTTTAACGTTCTAAGGACTGATCAAATGGATTTGAAAGATCCTGTAAGTTATAATAAAATGATCACTTTTTATTAATTTTTAAATTAGAACATTTGAAGTGTTTCATAATAAATAATTTATTTTTGTGTAAAGCAAATGTATTTTTCTATTACATTTGCTATAACAGAATTCTTAAAAGTAATAAATTAATATATAATATATACATTTTAGGCTGAATACATTGCCAGGATTTTAATGAGTCACTTGTACACTTTGGAAATGATTGAAGAGAGAATTGAGCAGATTACAAACACGCTCAGGATAATTGACTCCAAGAAATGTATGCTCATGCACAAAACTCCCTTGAATTTTAAACTATGCTTCTAACAAAAAAAATATATCAATTTATTTCATTAATAATAATAATGTAGATTAAATTTAACTAAACTAAACATTTGACTAATTGTTAATCTCCCTTTTCATCTGTTCATATTTCTTTTTGATCTGGATAACCTGTTGACTGGCCTCCTGTATATCAGGCCTCAAGCCTCTGAATAAATTCAGCTCCTCGACAAGCTTCTTCTTCTGCTCCTGCAGCGAATTCAGTGTGTCAATCTCATGCATGACATTCAGCAGGTTGTGCTGAGAATCCCTTAGCCAAGGATACTTTTTCTAAAGAAACCAATAAACTGAATACCTAATTGAAACTGGCAGCTGCAATGACTCACCTCATATTTATGCAGTTCATTTTCATATCTCTTGACTTTAGCCTCCATCAATTTAAGCTCATCTTTTGATGTTTTTAAACTCTCAACGTTCGTTTTCGATATATCCAACTCTCTAAAAAAACAGCAATTTGCATGAGCAATCCAAGAAAACAACGACAACACAAACCTCCCCCATGTTTCAATTTCTTCTTTCAATTTTTTATTGATATTCACATAAAACTTTATGCACATTTTTAACTTGGCCTGATAATTATTCTGTTTCCTCTGCTTCTCAACAACTGACAAGCCAATGGCTTCAACTGTGCAAGCCTTCGCATCACTGCTACACTGAATGTCCTTCAACTTTTTCGTGGCAACCACCAGGTCCTTTAACAAATTCAACTTTTGCAATACGTTCTTCATTTTATCATCTACAATACAAAGGTTGTAAGTGTATAAATACTGTAATTGGAATCATTTCATACTACATACTCTCCTCTTCTAGTGTTTTGATCTGATCTGAGAGTAATCTTTTCGCTGACTCCTGGTACTCTTGGCAGTAAAGCAAGCCCTTCTCCATTTCGTTCGACATTATGAGGAAATGTACGAATTTGCTGCTGCACGTGACAAACAATAAGGCTTTTTCGAGTTTCAAACTTTGTTTTTTCTTTTAAACCGTCATTGCTTTCGTGCGTGGGGTGGTGTGGGGATCAGAGCAGTTTTCTGCATTATGACCAACATCGTAAAAACGAAGCAAGTTAAAAGTCTGCAGGGATATTTCGGTTTTCATTAATTGTGATTAATGCTAAATTAATAACATATACGTAGTTACAGATGAGATAGTCCAAGGAATTATTAATTGCAAAGGATTTACTTATTGTTATAATGATAACTGTATGCAAAACTTAATTATAAACTAAAAACAATTGAGACAATGGCGGATGAAGACGAAATTGATGTACTTGGAGATTTTAGCCTGGATAATATCTTAACAAACGATGGAACCATGTAAGTTACATATCAATGAGTTGCAAAAATATCTAAGTAGATGTAATAAGTTGCCACCATAAAAGATTTGCAATTAATTCATAAACACCCATGGGTCATTTTTGTAAGGTTATTGTTTGATGCCATCATACAGTGTTTTTGTTTTAAAACAGATAAGCAGTTGTTTATTTCACTTCGAATTGTTTGTGTTTTGAATGTAGATTATTGCCAAAGTTTAGCATTTAAAAACACAAATTTATTTTTAGATTTGATACTACATCATTGGTTTCGCAGAACTCTGATATATTGAATTGTGATTACACAATCCATCCTCAATGGCTTCTGGACAAACCCAGCACAAATCCTGCATTATGGTACAATAACACCACTGATGGTGATTTGGAGTTGACAAAGCAATATGAGTTTGAGCCTCACATAACCACAGAGAATTCAATAACTGATGAGAGTGGATGGACTGAGAAGGAGAAGAACTTGCTTAACAGAGGCATAGAGATCTTTGGCAAAAGCAATTTGAATTTGTCACAATTCATTGGGTCAAGGACACCAGCAGAAGTTAGGTACTTCTTGAAGAACTTCTACTCTGATGTTGAATTATCATACACTCCTCTGAATGATGACAGTCAATGTGTAGAAGAAACAATTGAATCTAGTTTTCTTGCAGATGACACTGATCAAATATTAGAGGACAGTGAGGTGATTGTAAACAGATGAAAATAAATAATTATTGTTAAAATATTGAATTTTAGATACCAGCAAGCATAGAAGAGGTGATTGCAGCTGTATCCACAGCAAAGCCAACTGTCCCCAACAACAAAAAATGTGTAAATCCCAAGAAAAAGTCTTCAAAGTTGATAAATTACGCGAGCATTCCCAGTGGCCAGTCATTACTTAGATCGAATTACGTAAAATCGAAAGAAGTTAAAAAGAAGATTTTGACGAATTCCAATAAGAAATCGGTTAAGTTCAAATTCAAAACTAAACTAAAGGTGATGGATTCACGTAAAAATTGCCCGAGTGGCAAGCCTTTGAAGGCTATGAATTACAAGCCAATTAGGAGGAGAAGCACCAAATCTGAGACTGAAAGTGTTAAATCTGAATCAAGTGATGTACAGATTGTGACTGGCAATGGATTGGCAGTCCCTGTATGCGAAGGAGAAGAAGTGGTAAATATCAAGAACAAAGTAGATGCTAAATGTATGTTAATTGATGTATTTTAGATAAAAATAAGGAAAGAACATGACACAGAAAATTCTGATAGTGATATTGAGATTGATGTAGAAGATTCTGATGATGAGACTAGCAAAAAGGTAGTCATCAAACAAGAGGATACTGCTGTAGTTAAAGAAAATATTAAATCTGGTAAATATATTTTTAAAATCTAAGTTTTACATTACTCAATCATGTAATATTTCCTTTTATTTGTAGAAAATAAAGAAATTAAAACCTGTACTCCAATTGAGAGTAAGTCCATGAAGCAGGTTAGTAACGATACGAAGAAGAAAATTCCGGAATTGAAAGATTTGGATAAAAACGTTGCTGATGAACTATTAACTATGAACGAACCGAGCAGTGAAATTGTTTTGAATTCGGAGATCAGTGAAGTTGAAAAGTTCATCTTTGCCGAATACTTTGAGGGAAGAACTGTGAAAACCCCAGCGCGTTATTTAAAAGTATGCATTAATAACACATTGTAAAAAATCAATTAGGGCATTATTTTTTTTTTGTAGATTCGTAATTATATAATTAACGCTTGGAATACATCGAAGCCCAATTACGTGAAGAAAACTGCGATTAGGAACGGATTGAAGCAGTGCGGAGACGTGAATTGTATTGGCAGGATTCATTATTACTTGGAACAGATCGGAGCTATCAATTTTGGCTGTGAACAAACCAAATATTATAGACCTTTGTACGACATGGTCAATGTTCTGCCAGTTGTAAGAGAAAAATCAGAATCCGCAGTTCCAATTCAAAAAGTAGATTTTCCAAGACAACGAAAGAAGAAATTTGTTAATGTAAATTGTTTTATTTTTGATAACGCGATAATTAAATTTATTTTTTAGGATGGAGAAGGTGGTTATACTTTAACACACGATGAAAGAGGTGATATTATTAATACGACCGTTGTTAATGAGGAGCCTGCGACGAAACAGAGGACTTATATAAAGAAGCCGCAGATAAGATTAATTTATTGTCGGGCGTTCAATGATGAAGTTAAGGTAAATTACTTATTTATATTATGTAAGAAATCATGTTTTGTTGCTTGTTTTCGTTGCGTTAATCAAATCTTTTATATTGCAGCAACAATACACGGTAAGATTGAATTTGTCTGCTTTGATTTTGATGGATCTTCATGCCCACATGCACCTGACCGAGGTGATGGGTCTGATCGGTGGGAATTGGAATTCGCAGCAACGTGTTCTTTCTATAGTACGTTACGAACCATGCAAAAACATAGCATCTTCGTCCACCCATTGCGATATGTGTCCAATTAGTCAAGCAAGAGCCGCGGATTATTTGCACGACGATAACTTGGACATCCTCGGATGGTACCACTCTCATCCGACCTTCGCACCGGAACCGTCCCAACAGGATTTGGAGACGCAGCTATCCGTGCAACAATGGATCGGCAATAAAAAGCCGTGCATAGGTTTCATCCTTTCGCCCTTCAGCTTGCACGGCGCTTTAATTGCCAGCCCTTACCGTTGCCTGATCGTCGATAGAAAGGAGAACTTCGAAGACCAATTCGTTCCATACAAATTGAAGGTGGAATTGGTCACGGACGAGCTGGACGTCGAAGATTTGACGATCAAGGCCAAACGCGTTTTAGAGACGGAGAGCAGCGCGACAGGTAAAAGCCAGGTAGATTTTACGAAGACCTATTTCCAGGATAATAGCATTACCTATTTGGACAAGGTAAGTTTTTTGTTTGCTGCTTGTGAAAGGAAATATTAATTATGCTATGTTTCAGTTTATATACAGCGTTAAGATGCATTTAGCGAAATGCTCGGGGATAAATAAGATGACTTGCGATGCCATTACCAATAATTTAAGTGAACTGTGCAATAGCAAACTTCATTGTTCTAACAATAGATGATTGATTGTTATTACATTGTTTTTCTTTTGTGTGCAAATGAAATTATATTAGTTAGTAGATCTCAATATTTATTATTTTTATATTAAAGATTACACCTTGATTGGGTGCTACTGCACTCAATGAGAATATATATTTTTTGTTGATTTATGGTTATTAATTATTCAGTTAAATAGAATCCAGTGCTTGCTTTAAATCATGGATTAAATCCTCGATGTCTTCCAATCCAACTGTTAACCTAATAAGGCTATCATTGATGTTGAGGATCTTTTGCTGGGCTACAGGAACATTGGCGGCTGTCATCTTGCATGGTAAATCGGCTAAGCTTTCGCAGCCGCCTAAACTAGGTGCTAATGTAAATATCTTCAATGAGTCCAAAAACTTCATGGATTCTTTCAGTTCTCCCTTGAGGTAGAACGCAACCATGCCGCTATGTCCGGAAGTTTGGCTTTTGAATAAGTCATGCTGCGGATGACTAGCCAATCCTAAATATCACTAGTTTGTTATAAATTTCTTTATGTTTCATCAAATCACTTACCTGGGTGCATAACCTGTTTTACTTTAGGATGAGTTTCTAAGAACTTGGCTACTTGTATTCCGTTCTCTGAATGCTGGCGCATTCTCAAAGCCAGGGTCTTCAAACTACGATTTACCAGAGAACAATCGAACGGGGATGGAATAATGCCCATTGCGTTTTGTAAAAAGCGCAGTTTTTCGTGGTACTGTTGATTATTGGTGAGGATAGCCCCCATGATTACGTCCGTATGTCCGTTCATGTATTTAGTTAGAGAATATGTAGAAAGATCGGCGCCTAACTCTAGTGGTCTTTGGAAGTACGGAGTAAGGAAAGTATTGTCAACAGCGAGGATAATGTTCTTTTCCTTTGACAATGCGGCAACGGCTCTAATATCTATGACTTTCAACGTAGGATTCGTCGGTGTTTCCAACCAAATCAACTAAAATTGCTGAATTATATAACATACAAATATGTATGACTCGACTTACTTTAGTGTTAACTTTAATGGCATCTTTAATATTCCTTATATCTGTACAATCAACATGGCTGACTTCCATTCCGAATCTTGTGCTGATTTGGCTGAAGACACGTTTCGATCCACCGTACAAATCCATTCCAGTGATGAGGTGATCACCACTTTGGAACATTCCTAAAAGACCGGTGATTGCCCCCAAACCGGATGAAAAGCAAATTCCGTGTTTTGCTCCTTCCAATGAAGCAAGGCAAGATTCCAGAACATCTCTGGATGGATTTCCGGAACGTCCATATTCGTATTTCTGAAAATAATTTTAAATTAAGAACAGTTTAACTGAAATGGCCAGGACTACTTTGAATTCGCCAGGTCTGTCTTGTTTGTATGTTGTGGACATCACGATTGGTGGGACCACACACATGGAATCCGAATTATCGGGATTATATCCAGCATGGATGGCTTTGGTGGAAAAACCTTTTGGTGATGATTGAAAATCGCGACTCATATTGATTTGCTAGAATTAAACAACAACAAAAAATGGACAATGATGAATAATTAACAGAATAAACATCTTACCTAATTGCAGCTAGTCACCGATCTGAGAGTAAAAGACTAGTAATCAAAATAACACGAATCTGAACTTTTATATGCAAATGTGCCAATAGTTATCATTGCGAAATTATGTTTTGATGGATGTACTTCCAAAATACAATAATGTTTAATGCATCTTATCTGCAATTGAAAAAAAAAAACATGTTTGCGTGTGTCTCTTTCATATCTTTCATATTGATTTTTATAATTACAAAAATAACAAGTTTTACGATTAGTAACGTTTTGCATGGTTAAACTCTCGATTAAAAGGATGTATAAATAATAAACGTATTTCATTATCAACTCAAGTCAATAAATTGGTATTATTTATAAGGAGTAAATTATTTTAATTGAATACTAAGAAATTATTTAGTTTATTTCATTGAAATAAAGAATAATCGTGTTGTTTATTGGTCATTTCTTTATTTTTTCAAAATAGATATTATATGCTACAAGCAAATGTAGACATCATTATACAAGTAGTTGCTGTAAACGTTTCATATAAAATTGAGCTGTAAAGAAAGAAAAATTGTTTAAAAAAGTTTAAATTGAAGCGAACGCTTGATTTAAGTCAGCTATTATGTCATCAACATCTTCCAAGCCAATTGAGAGACGAATCAGACTGTCGTCGATTTTGAGGATTTTACGTTGTTCTTCTGGAACGGAAGCGTGTGTCATCACCGATGGCAACTCAGCTAAGCTCTCGTATCCTCCCAAGCTTTCTGCCAATGTGAAGACCTTCAAGGAGCTCAGGAACTTCTTAGAGTCTTTCAGTTCACCTTTGAGGTAGAACGTCACCATACCACTGTGCCCAGATGTTTGAGTCTTGAATAGAATGTGCTGAGGATGGCTTGGTAAACCTGTTCAATGAAATTTTAAGCTAGTTTTATGCATATACCAAGTGTTACTTTTTACCTGGATGCAAGACCTTCTTTACATGGGGATGCGTTTCCAAAAACTTGGCAACAATCAAACCATTTTTGCTGTGTTGCCTCATCCTCACTGCCAGGGTCTTCAAACTACGGTTTACCAAGGAACAATCGAACGGCGATGGAACAATGCCCATTGCGTTCTGCAAGAATCGCAGCTTCTCGTGGTGCTTGTGATTGTTGGTGAGGATCGCTCCCATGATCACGTCGGAATGTCCATTCATGTATTTAGTTAAGGAATACACTGTGAGATCGGCGCCCAGCTCGAGCGGGCGTTGGAAGTATGGAGTGAGGAAAGTGTTGTCTACGGCGAGGACGATATTCTTCTCCTTTGCTATGGTGGAGATAGCCTTAATATCCATGACCTTCATTGTGGGATTTGTCGGCGTTTCCAACCAGATCAGCTGAAATAATTTCGTTATAAAAAACCGTTTAGATTTTCACTTTTCCATAGACTCACTTTGGTGTTGCTTTGGATGGCCGCAGCGACGTTGTTAACATCCGTGCCATCGACGTGAGATACTTCGAAGCCGAATTTCTTGCCGACCTGATTGAACAACCTATTTGAACCTCCGTAGATGTCATCTCCGGTGATGATGTGATCTCCGGATTGGAACATGCCCAAAAGACCTGTTATAGCACCAAGGCCGGAAGAAAAGCAAACTCCGTGCTTAGCATCTTCCAAGGAGGCGAGGCAAGTTTCTAAGACATCTCTGGAAGGATTTCCGGAACGACCGTACTCATATTTCTACAAAGAAACAAAAATCAACGACATTCTACATATTACAATTAAATTACTTTGAAATCAGCAGGACCGTACTGCTTGAATGTCGTGGACAAAACGATTGGTGGGACAACACACATTGAATCCCAATTGTCCGGATTCTGTCCAGAGTGTATGGCTCTAGTGGCGAAGCCCTTGGGCACTGGGAGATAATCTTCTGGGTTCATATTGTCTGCAATCAACGAGTTCATTATTAGAATTATTTAACGAGTCAATATTAATTAAAGTTGATGAATTTGTTCTCTCTCGCTAATTACACGTTGGAATTCCTTCAACTACTGATCAATTTGAACGGTCCAAAGTCCTCATCGTTAATTCGTATAAATGAAGACTCACAATTTCTATTGAATCATACAACCCATATTATGTGCACCCATTTAAATTAAATATTAAGATAATTTAAATATGATTAATTTTAATTGACTTTAACAATATTACTTATGCTTACTTACTTAGTGATAACTCTAATAAATACGAAATTCTTTTGAAAAGATTTTTTGTAAACTCAATTTAATCGCAGTCTTTACTGAAATGACATGGAAACAGAGTAGATGTTTTTAAATATTAAAAAACATCGTACGATTCTTAGAGATTAGCCATAAACAAATATTATTATTTTTCAAGTTTACAAAAATGTATGCATATTCTTTAAATGATTTGCGGACGTTTCTGCAGCAGATAAGATTATTGGATTAGGTCCGTGTGTAATTCGAGCGCTTGGATTATGTAACAGATAAAATTGGAAACCGGCAGATTGGAAATTCGTGTTCGATGCCCTTCGGGCTGCGATGCAAAGAAACGCTGAAGGACAACTGGAAACGCTTATTCGGCGTTTCTTTGATTGAAATTATATCAATATCGAACATACGTTGAAAATGAACGTCATACATTATTTACACGAGATAACTGTAATGACGCACGATATTCGTTAACTAACAATTATTTTGCCTAATTACGTGATTCTCTGTTTAAGTCTATTTTCGACATGCATTATTTTTAGATTCGTATTACGGAAACTAATATTGTATTACATCAGAAAAAATTCCTGAAAACTTTTCTACAATTATAGGTATTAAATTTTTCTTTCTAATCGCAAATTATTTGCAATATGTAATATAATTGCACAATATTAGGGTAGGATTAACTCAATTGCAGTAGTTGCAACAGTATATAATTAATTTCTCTCTAAATATATTAGTAATTATGTTTATTTTTTTATTTGTAATTTTCTATTTTATTCTTTATAAATAGTATTCGTCTATTATGAGATTATCATTCCAAGTAACCAATTAATTCCTGTATAATATTAGTAGTTATTACTTTTGCAAATACTATTAATATTCATAACTAACAAGAATCCGTTGAACAACAAGCAATTACAATTGAAAATTAATAAATAAATTAAAGTTATTTTATTAAATATATTTCGTTTTTAATATTCACTTTACATAATTTTATTGTATTAGAACATTATGCTTGTTTAGTTTGAATCAACGGTTGAAAATGTGTTAGAAACGAATGAAAAAAAAGAACATTCGTAGTAAAGCGTAAAATTTTAACAATTTTTTAGCGAAACGTGGACGGCGTTTGCGGCTAGCGTGCGTTTATCTACAAAGCGCGTTTGAAATTAGATTGGTGTGACCTTCTGATGGAATATAGCTTCAGTGTCATGTAATTCGGAAAGCGTGGCTGAATCTTCTCCGAAGGTGCAGGATTTTATTTGTAAATTCAATCTGGGTACGTGATGCAACGAAGATGGAAATTACGAGTACACATTTTTGGGCCGCTCACGTGGTCTGAGTGCAGGTCAGGGAATCGCAGTTGGATAGCGTTCATCAAAAATCAATAAAACTCACCCTAGACGTGCACCAGGTTCGATCGAGGAATGCTTGTTTACTCGGAGGTGGCAGGTATTAGCCAGATGGTCGCGATAAGAGCTCTAAACGCGTACTATTTAAAACATTCCCGATGCGATGTAATTACAGTTGCCAAGTTAATATTCCCGGAGCGCGGACAGGTTTTTATATATGCGCGTAGACAGCCATCCATCTCCATTGCCCAAGAATCGTGCGAGACCGATTGCTATCACCAATTGACGATTCGAGGGCAAAGAAATGAACAAAAATATATATACACACATCAAATATAACGAATATAGCAGTTAAATATTATTTGTACATCGATAAACAGCGATAAAAGCAGTTGCGAAACTCTTCATTTAACTTTTCTGTCTTTAATCATGGAATGACATTTTTAAATAAATTATTTTCAAATTTAAATTTGAATATCGTTTTTGCATGGATTTTTGGCGCGCCATTTCAAAATTTGCCGCCGATCGCAGCGCATCCGTCATGCGCGCGGACGATTTCGCGCAACTGCATCCGGTAAACATACAGTTCATGCGTTCAGTGCGAAAATAACATATATTCGAATGGAAAATTGCACTGCTCATACCGTGCTCAGCGCTTTTCCATCGTGCGAGATCAAGGCTTCTTCCCTTCAGGAATCGTGATCCTAGAAGACGGAAGTTGTCATCGAGTCTGTTCCGGTTTAGATACAATAGAATTCTGTGCATATTTTTTTTTTGCTGCTGCTGTCGAGAGGTTTGTTTGGGTTTGTTTTTCACTCTCTCTCTCTCTCTCTCGCACATCGTGTCGCGCATTTGCAGAGTCTATCCGACTCTCTCTCTCTTTCTCCTTGTTTTCGTTTTTGGTGTTGTTGTTTTTCCCGGTAGAGTGTCAGAACGGGTGGTTTGTTTGCCGGTACGTGACTACCTTTTGGAATAGCGGAAGCGGATTACCCGGAAGGACGAGTGATTTCCGGTCTGACAATCGTCGTGGTGGAGGCCTTTGCTCCCGGACCATCTGATGGATGACATCCCTCGTAATTGGATTGACATTGCACCGTTCGTTCTGTTTAATTATTTTTAAATTGATCCGCTCTGTACAGTAATGGCGGACATTTCATAATTTCCCCACTTTGCTCCGAATTTCCCCCCATTAATCGTCAACAATAATACCGAAATTGCAATTGCAATTCAGTGACAGCAGGTAATAATGATCTACAACCCCCCAAAAAATTCTCCACCCCCTCGAAACAGCACCCTAACCTTCCCCCCTCAGACATGACCTATCTCATCCCTGCAGTAATTGCACTTTTAAATAATTCAGTGCATTGATTTTACATGGTAATCCCATTACATGTAACTGAACTGTCACATCTGACAGTTCTATATGCTGCATACCAAATACTCACCATACAAAACACAAGAATCCCAATCAAACAATTTAGGTTAAGTCCACTTAGCCTCAATTGGATAATTGCAAAATTAGAGCCAGAAAAATCTCAATTTTCCTCCCAATCGAACACTCATCTTGCACTCCATTTTGAATGTGCAAGTGGGAACAGTGAAAGAGAAGCAACTTTCCTTTTGCATTCAAAATCCTTTTTTTCATTTTAAAATCATTATGCTATTATTAGAAAGTGATGTAGTCTTTGCAGAATTATATAGTTAACAATTAAAAACATTTATTTGCAGGAGGATAATTGCAATTCTGCATTATTAAGGGCATTTATCATCTTCTTCATCATTGTTTGACTTTGGATTTTGTGCAATGGGTATTCAGGATCTGCAGGCACTTCTGGAGAGTACCAGTTTGGAAGGAGGAGCAGTGTCAGTTGACTTGCTGAAGATTGCTCGCAATGTTACACAAAGGCAGCAGCCACACAACTCTGGGAGAAAAATTAGACCAATTGGCAACAAGCTGAAACTGATTGTTGATGCTGAGGATTGTTTAGACAGGCTGTATGGAGGCTACTTTTCAGGTATTTTACTTTTCTATTTTTCATAATAATTATAAATATTATGTCAGACTATTTGAAATTGAACAACTATTAGTTGTCATAGTATATGTTAATAATTAAATGTATGTTATAGATTGGGCATGTGGTGGACAGTGGAATCGAATGGTTCAGTTCCTATCGCTTCTAACGCAGGCAGTTGAGAGGGGTAACATCGAGTTGGCCGTTGTATTTAATGGAACAATTGAATCCAGCAGAATGAGCGAATGGGTGGCGCAACAGGCCAACGTTAGACAAAGAGTTGGCATGGTGTTGAAACACGTCAATACTAAAGCTACTCCGCCTCCTAAGGTCTGGTGGACAGCACCTATTTGCCTGAAGACTGCTCTCAGAATGGCCCTCAGACATTTAGGAATTACAGTTGTAAGTATTGCGCCACATCAATGTTTTTCTCAAGAATCTAATGACAATTGCTCTCTCAAGATGTGTACAATGGATGATCACCATCAGGAGGTTATAGCGTATTGCAGGGAATACGGATTTCATGGCCTTTTGGCCGACGATGCGGAATACGCCGCATTCAATCCACCTCGCTACTTCTCTTCTGAGAACATTAAACTCACATACAAGGTATAAGTCTTCTTTAACGGCTTCACGTTCACGCAAACTAATTATAAACTCTTCTTTTAGGGTTCCTTGGAAACCAAAGAATACATGGTTGCTGAGTTAAGCAAACATTTACAATTAACTCAAGAGCAAATGTGCGTCTTGGCATCACTTCTGGGCAACTTTCTGCTGCCTGAAAACGAGCTGCAAGACGTTTACAAGAAAATCCAGACTGTTTTTATAAATAAGGATACAAAGGTAATTGTGAAAAGTGACTAAATATTTGAATATTTTTTTTAACCTAATTGCTATTCAGATGCAGGGAGAATCCGCTGTTAGATTAATCGCTATGTACGTTCGTACCTTACCATCTCCATCCAATATGGATGCTCTTGTCACCGAAGTGTTCGGCAGCAACAAAGACAAACGCTGCCCGATATTCAAGCAATCAGTTTTGTATTATCTGAACGGCACTGCCCATGGATTTTTAAAATATTCTTCGCCAAAAGGTAAAAACGCTTTGTCAATGTTGTCGAGAAATTCAACACGGCCCGTTATTTCAGCAAATAATTATAAGGGTAAGAAAGCGACTGTGCAGAACAATAACAATGTGAACAGCATAAAAACGGAGGCTGAGCTCGACACTGCTGGATTTGCGTCCGAGACTACAGAGCAAGAAGTAAGTTTTTGATTATAGTCTTATTTTTTGCAACAATAATTTTAATTTTCTTTAATTTACAGCAAGAGAGTTTACAGAATTACCGTTTAGCTACTGTCAATCAAGTATTGAGTTCCGATATCATTAGTCCCGAAACTGATTCGTCTGCGAAGAGTAGTCCTCATGGTAAGTTTATTTGTGGAATAAACTTTTCAATTCTCCTTCCTTTTCAGTGAATTTTGTTTTAGACGAATCCTCACCGACTTCAGATTCGCGTCTACACAATGGTCACGCCAGTGCAGGTAGCAGTAGTAACAGCAGTAGCACATCTGGTACTGGTAATAGCAATAATAACACCGCCACAACTGGAAGTCTACCATCGCCAAGAAGTAATACAATAAGTGGAAATGTGATAAATCCGACTGTCTCCACCGATGTGTTACGGACTTCCTCTTTGAGGCACCAGAAAGGTCTCATGTGTCCATGGATCCTTCACGTACTGAGCACAAGGGAAATCCGTTTGCCTTGCGTCATGGAGGATGAAGGGAATCGCGAGTTTCCGCCCATCCATGAAATCTATTTACCTTTACGACAGAGGATCTACGCTGTTCTCTTTAATCTGCATCATTATCGCTACGTCCAAACTAAGGGAAAAAGTAAGTGATCTATTAGTTTTTGGGTATAAATAATATATTTATTATTTTTTTTCCAGAAAATTTCATTATTCCCGATTGTATGCCGACTCCGGAGATTGTTATTACGGAATGGGTTTATAGCAGGAGTAATCCGTATCAGACACCTGAACAGGTGAAGGCTGTACCTTTGTCGTGGGCTGTGCCCACTTTACAGCGCTTGTGGTTCGGGCCTTCTGTTGATGATAAACGTCGTCGTATGCGAGCTTTACTCTCTTGCCTCAACTCTGACACCCCGCTCATTTTGAACATGTCCTACGTGCCTCAGCATATGCTTGTCATGGCATGCGTTCTCAGATACATAATGTCACAGGATAAGCCGATTCTGCGACGTAACGAGCTCGACGTCTTCATATGTCAAGCATTCAATCCAGACCTTATGAACACTCAGTATTTGCAGGAGTTAACCGTTAGTATTATATTGTAAACAAAATAGTCTATTGAATTAAATGGTGTTGTATTTGCAGCTGAACGTGGTGACTAGTCGAGGTGTCCAATTAGCAGCCGTCTTTATGAATGGAGTCGAAATGGCCCTTTTGGCGAATGACGCGTGCGGTGCGCCTTTGCCTTGGTTATTGTGTTGTCCGTGGTTGTACTTCGATGGAAAGCTCTTCCACCATACCCTGACACGTTCTATACATGCGAAGAGTCTTTTGGACTTATGCGAGAACCACATCGAACGTGTTGTCAAAGTGGAGCGCATGCGAAAGGCCATCCTCGAAGGATTGGATGCCAAATTTGCTAAAATCCCGTTGCAGGTAAACGCGTTCCGTATGCCGCCCTCCAATTGTCTGCCACCAGTGCCATTACCTTCATCGAGGGGACCATCCAACATGCGGCATCGTCCTTTGCAATCGCGCGGAGCTCAACTGCAGATAGCTGGAGTAGTGGTTGGTTCATGGGGCGCGAACTATGGATACCAGCAGCAGAACTTGAGACAGCCACCTCAGATGGTCAGCGGTGTTCCTTTCCGCGGAGGCCTTAATCCTCAGAACCGTGGACTTCCTGCACCTGGAAATAATTTCATGCCCCCTCAGCAACAGTACAACCATAGGAATAATGGTTCAAACCCGAACAGGCAGAGGAAGCAAGGACCACCTACTTTCAATGTAAACAAGAAAAATAATGTGAGTAATCTTATTTGTAATTAATTTTTTTCTATGTCTGGATGAATTAATTTAATTCTTACTTATCTTGTATACTCTAATCATGGATAAGTTGGATTTATATTTTATATTCATGTCTAATTTTTGCAACGCTCTAATATATCAATTAGTTTGAGTGTCTGTTGTAACTTGGAAATATCGCACGTATTAATTAGATAGCATTTGTAGCCAAATAAGAAGAAGAGCAATAAGCAGAAGCAAAACGCCGGAGGAGCAAATAAGGGCCGAAACAATAACGCTCTTCCCTTTACGACGAAGACCGATATCGGGTAAGTTCACGGTTTCGACTGGAGCGATATAAATTAGGTGCTAAATGTGTATTTAGAGATGTTTTAGTAAGTGATGTGATTAAGAAAGAACATTCGTTGGCGGAAGAAGCCATCTTGGAAGACTGCAGAGGAGGATCCGAGCACCAGGGACAAGGCGACGGACCTTCGATCGAGACAGCTGCCTGTTAAGTGCGTTAGTTACTGATAATGTTACATAGACTTTTTTTGACGTTATCACCAACCAACAAGAATCCCCCCCAACCCCTAAATGTTAAAAAAGAGTTACAAATTTAATTTATACTGCGTTAGCGAAAGAAAGAAGGCGACGACGACGGACAGAAATGCTTCGTATCGTAGGTAATGAAAGAAACAAACAATAACGGATTTTATTGTATTATTTATTGGCTTTAACATTAACAGGAGATTTTTTCGTTCTTTCTTTCGTTTAATCTATATAGGTTTGTTTAAGTTTGATATATTATATTATATATTATATATATATTTTTTGAGACGTGATTGGTGCTTCTCGATGCATTAAGAGACTAAAACGAAGTGCGATTTTTGACCAATTGACTTATTTTTATTAAGAATATATTAATATATGTGGCTCAACAACGATGATTTCAAGTAATGACATGAAAACAGTGCGCGTTTTACAACATGGACCTCCTGCACTATCCTTGTGTTCAGATGTATCACGATGATCGAGGAGAAAACGGTTACTAAGAGAGAAAGAGAGATGAAAAGAAAAAAAAACAAAGAGAAATAGTATGGTTGGAGAGCAAATGTATATTTTTCTATATTTGTTACGAGTGTTAATATTATATTGACTGAGATATCACATCAGTCGCTGCTGTGATTTATATTTATGATATTTATATATACAACATCGGTTTAATGATAATACGCCTTTACAAACTAATTCATTTCCATGCTCTAGCGTTTAAGAGAGAGAGAGAGAGGCAGGCAGGACAAAAAAAGCCTGGGTCACCGCCCATTTTCATTTTGCGCCAAAAATAAACCCCGCCCATCGCCCGCCCTCCACACATTCCATCAGAAGCGATGCATTTTTCTCGAAGAAAATTTAGTTTTCGAAAGCGGTCACGAAATTTAAAAAAAAATATTAATTAATTACGGGCAACTTGTGATAAAAGCAACATGAAAATGGGGTACGGCGAACATAGGAAATTCCATCAATCAATCATTTATTTATTTTTTACAAAAAAAGAAAACTAAATTCGGGAAAGCAAAAGTTGCAATGGCAATCGGCTAATGCTTTAGTTTGTCAAGTCTATTTATTACATTATTATATAAAGAATATATGGTTCATTCGAATTTGAATCTTACAAGAGAGATATAGAGAGACAACTCTTTTTTCAGACTTAAAAAAAAAATATTACACGGCCAATACATTCAACTATAAAGAAAGAAAAAAAAGATAATTAAATATTATTGAAAGAAAAACTGACACGATGTGTGCATCTATGTATGGTTCGTTATTTTTTTTTTGTTCAATGGTGCAGTGGAAAACCGTTGTTAAACGTTTATAAGCTGGTCAATTAAATGTTCACTGCTCCGGCGTTCAGAATTACGCAACTTTCGACCATACATATTTGTACGCTCTGTATATACTTGGAAAGTGTTTTTATATACTAATACATATTACACGATGAAAGAACCGACGGCGTCACATTGTTATGTTGCTCATCGTCAAATATTGACGCCAGACGTTTCGAATTTTGTAATTCGACTTTGGAAGTCTTGTAGCAAGTACTTGTATTCTTTGCAAATTTCGCAAACTATCTAAACACACCATTCGACATAAACAAAACAAAAAAATAATAAACAAATAATTGAAGCGAAACAAAACGCGAATTGTGGAATAAATAACGTGCGTGTTCTTTGTTTCTCGCCGCGAACACGATTTGAAACGGCTTTTCGTTATTTGATGATATATATATATAGACATACATTGAAATGATACGGTTTATAAACCGATTATTTTAAAAACAATGATAAACGATTAAATTTCCACTTCTAATCGAGAAAATACATGTTTTTTGTTTGAGAAACCCTCGTATTCTAGAATTGCATGCAAATTAATATTGATCAAGTAATTAAATACTAATTATCGTCGTATTCAAGTAAAGATAATAGCAATTATTCTTCACTTAAAAGTCAATCAATATTTAGATTTTTGCCGTAGTAGTGCTGTTTTATTATTATTATTTTCCTTTTAAACAATCTGTTTCTTATTTCATAACTATATTGATAACTATATGTAACTTGCATCTGAATATTAAAAAAAGTAGATCTTATTTTTTCTTGTTCACATTGCAGTGATCGAAGGCGATTGCAAATGCTTAATTAATTAATTACAAATATCAAATCAATTATTGCTTTTTTTTTAAAATATAATTTTCGTTTTTCTTGAGGTGTTTATTTTTCGTTGATTGAAAATGTGGGTGGATGCGGATAGAGCCCCGCCCCCCGTGCACATCTATTTTAATTTTATATATTACTTTGCCTTCAAATATGTTTCATTTTTCGTTTATTATTAATAATCGGATTCTTTCTGTTTGCACTTATCATTTGTTTGTTTATATTCAATTAATTAAATATATCTTACATATGTAATCTGGCTGAATAATATCTAGATAACCGAAAATTAAAAAAAAAGAAATAAAAATATTAATAATAATTAATTAAAAAAAAGACAAAATAATAATGATATGGAAAATATTAAGAGAATGATGATGATTAGTTATCACCATCTACTTCTGGTTGGGTATGTAATTATTTCAATCAAAAAGTGTATGTTACTTTTTTTTTTACTTTTATGTGTGTATTCTTCTATCTGATATAATCCAATAGTAATTGAAAAAAAATATGTATTTGTATATTAGTCTTCTGGCCCTCATATATTTAAACAAGACGAAGCTGAAACGTATTGTATTGTGTATTAAAGGAAAACAAAAAAAATGTCACTCGTTTCGATGGGCAGCATTTTCTCTTCTCTTTGGGTGCGATTTCGTTTCGCGAGTCAATCTCTTCAAACCCATTTTAAAACACTTGTAATAGTAATTAATGAATAAAGGAAAAAAGAGTACAGAAATGCCTATTTTAGAGTGGGCCATTATAGCAAACCACATGTTTTATCTAGGATCCCTTTTATTTACCTAAGTAATTCCAATTTTAATCATTTCAGTTGCGGTTACGTGTTTTAAAACATAGTAATTTGCATAACATAACGACTTGTTAAGGAAAATAGCTTTATATTCTATCATACAGTGATTTTAAGAAATGTCGGTAATTTCAGGACCTCTCAAAATAGAAATATCGATGCTAGAATTGTTTCATACTCGATATGAAGGGTTAAATTAAGTAATTATCCTGAAAAAATTGAATGTAAGATGATGTAATAGCTCGAGTAATTCACTATAAACTAAAGGCATCGAAAAACAGTTTCTTGATTACGTAATTATTTAGGAAAAACGTCTTTCATAATTGTGGCGTGTATAGTTATTGAGATAATTGATGATTTGTGAAGACAGTCGATTTTCTTAAAAAAATGTATTCATGTTTAAATTACAGGAAATCGGAAATAGTTACAAACATGAAAGATGGCACGTTGGAAAGCCCATACATTTAGCTTTAATATGCGTGCTTACTCATATCTGTGACATGTATAGTTATTAAGAAAATTGATGATTTATGGAGACACTCGATTTCTCAAGGCTTAAAAAAGTTTTTCAAGTTTAAATTACTGGAAATGGGCAATAGTTACATATATAGCAAATAGCACGTTGGAAAGCCCATACATTTAGCTTCAATATGCGTTCTTATTCATATCTGTGACATGTGTAGTTATTAAGAAAATTGATTATTTATGGAGACACTCGATTTCTCAAGGCTTAAAAAAGTTTTTCAAGTTTAAATTACAGGAAATGGGCAATACTTACAAATATAGCAAATAGCACGTTGGAAAGCCCATACATTTAGCTTTAATTTGCGTATTTAATCATAACTGTGCCATGTATAGTTATTAAGAAAATTGATGATTTATGAAGATACTCGATTTTCCGATACTAATAATTAAGTTTTTCCAAGTTGAAAATAGTACAGCTACCCGTCATGAGATGGCGCTTATCATGATTAATTAAACGTTCATAACTAATTAGTTAAACAAGCAATCAATAAAATAATCTTACCACTAGATAGCAGTAATTAATCTTTATCTTTGAAGAAATACAAATCATTAATTATGCCGCTAATTAAGAATCTCTGATTTGAGCAGCGCCAAAACAGCTGAACTATAAACTTCGCAAGATGACCTGAAAAATAATTTAATTTCGAAATTGCAATTAGGGCCTTAATTGCAAAAAGCGGTGCTTATTACACAATAAATTATATATATTTTTTAAATTGTTAAGTAACTTTTTTTTACATAGTAGTTTTTGAGTTATCAACATTCAGACATTCTGAAAATCAAAATATCGATACTATAATCGTTTCAATCACTTTAATTTGAGTATAAGATGATGTAACATGTTTTAGGAGTTGCCGAGTAATGAACATTGCACAACTTTTGTTGCATAATAAATTGCGTAAGAGTGATGAATTTGAATACTTTATTCAACAATATATAAAGAAAATGTTATGGTCTTATTGTAATAAAAAACGTGTATATAAAATTCTTTCATATTTGCTGGATACAAGAGAAAACCATTTTCCAGATAATCAAAATTGTTGTTATGAAATCCTTCCGGCAGTTTCCTTACCATTTTGCATTTCAATAAGTGTACTTAATAATTATGTAACTGCGTTAGTAATTATTATATTTAGTTTGGTCTGCGGAATGCTGTGCCGGCGTACTTGGCCTCGGAACCAAGTTCCTCTTCGATGCGCAGAATCTGATTGTACTTGGCAAGACGCTCGGAACGGCACGGAGCTCCAGTCTTAATTTGCCCAGAGGACAATCCTACGCACAGATCGGCGATGAAGGTATCTTCGGTCTCGCCGGACCTGTGGGAGACCATGGTGCCCCAACCGTTGGCCTTGGCCAAGAGATGAGCATTGATGGACTCGGTAACGGTACCGATTTGATTCACCTAAAATTTAAATTATTTATTTAATAATAGTTTGTTATCAAATCCGCAGATAGATAATATACCTTGAGAAGGAGACAGTTGCAAGCGCCCTTGTCGATGGCCTCTTGGATGCGCTTGGGGTTGGTCACCGTCAGATCATCGCCAACGATCTGAATGGTGGTTTTCTCTGTAATTCCTGTCCAGGATTTCCAGTCATCTTGATCGAAAGGATCCTCAATGGAAACAATTGGGAAGTCCTTGATGTAACCCAAATACAAGTCGCGCAATTTCTCTGGACTATACCACTTGGTCTTATCGGATTTGGGGTTCTTGAAGTCCATATCGTATTTTCCGTTCTTGTAGAACTCGGAGGCGGCGACGTCCATGCCGATGTCGATACGTCCAGCGTAGCCGGCCTTCTTAATCGCATCCCTAATCAAAACCAAGACATCCTTTCCGTTGCTGATGTTAGGGGCGAAACCGCCCTCATCACCGACGGCGGTGGCATTCGTGCCGTACTTAGTTTTGACGACGTTCATCAGGTGATGGTACACCTCGGATCCCATCTTCATGGCCTCGGTGAAGCTGGAGGCGCCAGTTGGCAAGATCATGAATTCCTGGAATTATTCATTCAATTATTTTATCAATTCAATTGCTTGAATGCTGCTGAAATCTTACTTGCATGGCCAATTTGTTTCCGGCGTGGGAACCGCCGTTGATCACGTTGAATGCTGGTACGGGAAGGATGATATCCTTGTTTCCAGCAAGATCAGCCAAATGTCTGTAGAGAGGGATGCCTCTTTTGGCGGCACCGGCTTTAGCGTTAGCTAGAGAGACGCCGAGGATAGCGTTAGCTCCCAACTTGGACTTGTTTTCGGTGCCATCGAGTTGGATCATGAAGTCATCAATCTCGGATTGCTGGGTTACCTCCAAGTTCTGCTTGATAAGTTCAGGTGCGATGACATTGTTGATGTTGTCGATGGCGATCTTCACGGACTTGCCGTGGTAGTGAGCCTTGTCGTTGTCGCGAAGCTCAAGAGCTTCATGGACTCCTATCAACACACAAAGGTACAATTAACTTCATTCTTTTTAGATTACGTTTAATCTATTACCTGTGCTAGCGCCTGATGGTACGGCGGCTCTGAACAAACCCAAATCGGTGGTGAGATCGACCTCGACGGTTGGGTTACCGCGAGAGTCGAAAATTTGACGAGCGAAGATGGACTTGATAGGCATCTTTGATGTACTGTAGTTACGAAGAAACACTCTGTAATTAGTTAAAAACAATTTAGGAATCATTCGTACAAATGGTGATTGCGTGCGTCTATTATTAAGGTGTTTATTTTAATCCAGAATGCATGGCGCTGGGCAGCCAGCGCTAAATATTCAAAGTCAATCTGACATTTAAAGTTTATTGAATAATTTTGTAATTATTAAGTAATTATCCTTAAAAAAAACTAGATCATTACGAATATAGATAAATTGTATAAACATTGAATAGGATTTTAGATAATGATAAAGTATGTTAGGTGTCATGAAAACATGATTCTATTATCAAATAGTTATCAGCGGGTCCCGTTTCATAAAGAATTATTACCAAATCTGATCATTTTATCTAAACACAATTTAGTATATTTAAAACTCTATTAACACCCAAAATCAATTTAATTAGCAAATTTTGGGAATTCCAATTGGATTTAATTTCGTTGCGAAATGTTTGATGACACCCTTTTTCAATATACGTGACCTAACGCACGTATACGTCCTAGATTGTAAAAAAATATTATTTTGCAGGTACATTTTTCTTAATAATTAGCCTAAATATGTTTGTATTAAGGTGATTGAAGTAATATGCAAAAATTTGTTATTATCTAACAAATCAAACTCTAAGTAACTGATAATGTTTATCTGAATGAAATCAAATGTGCATATTCTAGTGGAAAACTGTATTATAGTATGGAGTATTTCAATGTAAAATAAGAATTTGTAACTTACGAAAATTTAGATTTTCTTCTTTTCAGGGAAGAAAAAAGTGGAGTGCCTATTCACAACACAACCGGCAAAATACTGATGGTTGTGTCAGTTTGTGACACTTTAGTAACCTTTGATTTTCGATGAAAGTCATCTGGAGGTCGACAAGTTTCGAGGAGATTCCAGCAGATGGATGTAGTTTATATAATTTCAAATAATACTATGTTTGAAAAGTCTGCACATTGAACAATCAATGTTTTAATTCAATATACATGTTTTTGTATCATATTGAAGTCATATATTTGTTAATTATAATTGCAATACATTTCTCAAAATATAAGTTATAGTTTTCAAGTAAATTTGAAAAACATTTGAAAATATAGAAAAAGATTCAATTGTTTTATTTTTATTTATATAAAATTTTAATTACATGAATTTGTCCGATATTTACCAATTGTTATCAGTAAATTGTGAATTTGAATCGAAGGTGGTGGGTGGAGGAGGCGGTGGACCTCTAGGTGGGAAAGGTGGTCTTCCAGCAGCACTGAAATTAGGTGGTGGTGGCCTCCAGTTTGGAGGTGGAGGTCTGTTGCTTGGTGGAGGCGGTGGTGGAAATCCGCCTGGAAACGGTGACTGTCCGGAAGGTGGTGGACCAGGAGGCGGTGGGAAGTTGCCATTACCCTGCCATGGAGGCATCATCCTAGGCGGCGGTGGTGGAACTGAGGATCCCTGAGAAGAAGGTGGCATCGGAGGTAAAGGAGGACGAAGAGGAGTGGATCCCATAGGCGGTGCACCTGGTGGAAGAGGAGGTTGAACTGGTGGTAAAGGAGGTGGTGGAATACCGGTAGGGAATGCGTTTGGTGGTGGTACAGGCGGCGGAGGAGGAGGATGCATATTTGAAGGAGTAGGCGGTGGAGGCGGCATCATTCCAGCTAAAATAACGGGCGGAGGAGGCGGAGCCATGATACCTGGAGGCATCATTCCCATTGGCGGAGCATCAGCAAACAATTGATGAGGCCTATCAGCTTGCGACAATGGATTCTGTGCTGCAAGCAAACGCTCTGCAGCAGATCCGTGCCTCTCACCCTTGGCATCCTTCTTGAAAGCATAAGACACTGATATAGGCCTATTGCACAAATACTGACCATTCATAGCCTCAATAGAAGCATCTGATGCCTCAAAACTAGCGAAATTTATGAAAGCAAACCCTTTGGAATTTCCAGTTTCAGGATCCCTCATGATTTTTGGCGTTTGCAGTATAACACCAAATGCAGAGAACGTATCATAAAGCAATTTTTCATCAACCTCTGGATCTAGGTTACCTATGAATATGTTTGCACCCACATCAAGGTTCTTCTGATGTGCAGATGCTTTATTAACTCTTATAGGTTTTCCATATAGCTTTATCATGTTCATGATTTTAATGGCATAATCTGCATCTTCTTCACCCATAAACTCAACGAAGCCATATCCCTGATGCATCATAGTGACTCGATCCTTGGGCATGTGAACATTCACCAAAGGTCCTGCTTGCACAAAGAGCTCCCACATCAAGGACTCTGTGACCTTATCATCCAAACCACCAACATATATCGTTGCATCTACACAATAACAACAATTAGTAAACAAATTCAATTGATAGGTTAGGATTACTTACCTCTGTTACGCTCGGCGATTGGACCGTTAGCCATAATTGAGAATTATGTACACACCTTGCTTAATAAATTAACATTACTTTTTAACTGAAGAAACGCGACAAACGCATTTATTTATAATAATATAACTAATACTTGTAAGCGGCTTCAAAAATAAAACGATGCATTTACGTATAACAGGTTTACCAACATATTTTGTGCGCGTATAATCTTAGTCTACTATGTTTACAGAGCTGTAATATAAGTTGCATACTCATTTTCAAAATGAAATTGATTTAGAAATTAATTAGTAAACAGTAATTTAATTAAATTAATAAATGATAATCGTTTTTTCAATATAACAAAAGTAAAAAAGTTCATAAACTTTAAATGGTTGACAAATTTGAATCTTGTATATTTACCAGTAGATGTCAACACATGCTGAAACTCCTCTCTCAGAACTTCTATTTTCTTTATTTGATAGTATAAAATCTATATCGATCTCGGTCGTATGGATAATCTGCAAAATTCTGCTGCTTTAGGATCAACCATTCTTAGGAAAATCTCCTCCAAAGTTTATACTCTGACAGCTGTCCACCTGACAGTTGACCGATTGTGTGTTGAACGTCACAAGCTTCGTTTAATGGGCTTTAATTGAAACAGTCTTCCCTTGAATAAGATGAGTCAATTTTGAGGAATTTGCGTGCCTACTATTTAGTGTTTAGTGCAGTTCGTTGTGTGTCTGGACAATTTAACTGTAATTATAATGCCTTGCAAAATCGATCTGGAGGAATGCCTCAAGGATTCGCCGAAATTCAGGTAAAACATATTTCATGTTTTCATTTTTATTATTTGTAAATAACAGTTTGTTTTGGATATGTTATGATGGAATTCCAATAAGAATCTTGTGGATAACAATCAATATGCTTCATGTACATTAAGAATATCTCTTTGTTCAATGATGGAGAGAAACAAGAGTTTGGAAAAATGAAAGTTTGTTTTAGAGAAATTCATCTCTTTATGTTTCATCTATTTTATTAATTAAGAGAAAGTGTAACTTCTATTTTTTTATCTGCTTAGAAACTGTTAATAATTTTATATATAAAAACTATCAAACTTGGTAACTAAATATTAGAGCATATTATAGATGCACTTAATTTAAGCTTTAGTTAATTGTGTTCATAGCAAAGGAATAATTGCTGCAATGGCAATTTATATTTAATTGGCTTTATTGAAATTATCCATGTTTTAGGCATACCCTGGAGGAGGAGGAATCTAGTATAGACCAATTGGAGCAGAAGCTTGAGAAGATTTTGAAGGTGTGTGGAGCCATGGTGGATTCTGGTAAAATTTACGTCTCAAATCAATGGTACATCATCCGCAAATAGCTCGCAAATAAATGTGTTCAACACAGATGATCTCCTTTTTTTCTTCAGTTCATTTGCAAACAGTTTATGGGATCTGAGCCAGCATTTCCGCGATGACTCAGTGGTCGTATCTTCGCTCAACAAGCTGATACACAGTCTCCAAGAGATGAACAGGTTCCACACTATCCTATTAGATCAGGCTTCCAGGACCATACTCAGGAATATTACGTCTTTCATTAAAAATGATATTAAAGGTAATTTTATGATAGATGGCTTGATTTAGATTTAAAAACTGTTGTTACTGATATGTTTGAATGACTCATCTAATCAGTATCAAGTTACCAGCATGTTTATGATAATTGTAAGAAACTAAACTAGTCATAGTTCAACAGTCAAAAAAAGATGTCTAGACTAATTATTTTCTGCTCATTATCTAAACATACCAAAATTATCATATCATGTACTACTTAAAAAAAAATATTAATTACAGCAACAATAATTACATTAAAGTACCATCAAGTAATTAGAATATATGCGTAAAAAAACATTACATTAATATGTAAAGAAATTCATTCATATATTTTCATTATAATGCAGTTTTATTTCATTTTTTTCTACCCACAACTTGACCTGAATTTAATATATCAACTAAAAGTATGACACATACTATTTTTGAAACATAATCGTTAATATACCAAGTGAAATTCTCTTTAAAAAAATTAGAATTAACGCATTTCGTAAAATTGGATCATAAACAAACGTAAATATAAAGAAAATCCTTATCAAATTCTGTGGTTAATACCTTATTGTATTGTGTAATTGTTATTATTAGAATTTGATTATGATTTTGTAGACATTTCAAATAACTAAATATAATAAGAAAAAAAAATACACTTATATTATTTAAGCAGGAAGAAAATCATTGAAGTAGAAACGCCGCTCGCTCTCTTTGTTTATTATTATTTTTGGTTATCAAATAGAATTCGTGCATAACGATTTCTTTCAATTTAATACAAATATACACATTGTACATGTTCTTTTAAAGTTAATATAATTGTTAAAAGTTTGTTTATAAAAGTAAGGAAAATATGCGTCTGCTTCTTAAACTGCGAACGTATTCTTGAGAATTAAGTAAGCTATTTCCGAGTGTAAACATGACATAAGTGTTTACATTCCAAAATTAAACAAGTAATGTTTAGAAAAAAAAACACTTTGATACCGGTTATTCTTACATGAAAAATATGTATTTGTAAGAAATAATGTAAAAGTATTATACAAATTTTATTAATTGCATTTTTCTAATTATCTAATATTTGATGATGGACTCCAGCAAATGTAGAAAGTCTAGGATGTAAAATTAGTAAATAACATGTATTTATGTCATTTTAAAAAAAAATTATTCAAATTTGATGGATCCAGGTCAGGTTTGAAAATTCCTGCTTAATTTTCAAACTTTAACAAATTCGTTAATTTTATCTCGAGGAATATAATATAATTAACTTATTAATTAATTACTTATAACTGCTAGTTATAATGAATCTATTTATAATAAAGTTCAATTGCAAAATTATTATAAGGGGAAAATAATAATCTTGAATTTATAATTTTCGTGTTTATTTTAAAGGGAAGGATTTCGAGTAAATTTGTTTATGTTGATCAGGTGCCAAGGACTCTAAACAGCACTTCGAGAAGATCTCGATCGAGCTGGACAGTACTTTGGTGAGGAACAGCCAGACTGCGAAAAGCAAGTTGCAAGAAGTGGAGGAGGTCCAGAATATATTGATGGCGACGCGAGCGTGCTTCGGCCATCAGGCCTTGAACTACGTCAACTGCATCAGTGTGCTGCAAACCAGGAAGCGCCACGAAATACTGAGCACGGTAAGTAACAAGAAACAGTAGTAGTATTATTATCATCATCATCATGATCATATCAGAGACGCGGAAGGAAAACGCAAGACGGTCATGCTTCGGCAGAGCTATTGATCAATTTGAGAAGTGACGCATCAACTGCAAATCAATAATTCGCTGGACACATAGCTTTCGCATGCAACTTACGATGATGATAACATGGACTTTTTTTTTAACTAGCGTTAAATTATCAAATAAAAGTAGCGAGTTTATCTGAATATCGCCTAGATAAAGCATTGAATATGAATAATATAGAGACTTTTTATAGTTAATTAATTAAAGTCGCTGATGAGTAACTGCGATGTTGCGTCATTAGAAGTCGAGGGTTCATGAAATGTGGTATCGGCGTATCGAACAAATTTCAAATTACCTTGTGATTTATAAATAATTCCTCGGGCCTATATCGATTTCTCCCCATGGCATAATTTTTGTTTTCTGTCTGCTTCAATTTTCCAGTTACTTTCTTATATGCACGCCTGCACAACGTACTACCACCAAGGCTCCGATCTGTGCGGCGATTTGGAGAGCTTTTTCAAAGTGCTCGCCGACGAGGTAATCCCAATTCCGCGACTACACTCCTGTCGCGAACTGACGTTTCGCAACAAATGCTTTCGTCACACTTCATTATATTAATTTTTCTTCTCTTGCATAACTACAATTTTAGATCGGCGATATGCGAGAGGACACAGCCAAGGTGGAGAAGGAGCTGGAGAACCGGCACAGCATCGTGATCAACATAGACAAGGTGCAGTTTGGTACGGGCAGGAGCAAACCCATCATGGAAGGGTACCTCTTCAAGAGGACTTCGAATGCCTTCAAGTCGTGGCACAGACGGTGGTTCTGCTTGCATGACAATAAGCTAGTTTATAGGTAAAGCGTGTCTCGTATCAAATCTTGTTGATCTTCTAAATTGTATTTCTTGTTTGAAGGAAGCGGACTGGGGAGGAGAATTTCACCATCATGGAAGATGATCTGCGTTTGTGCACGGTGAAACCCGTTTTGGAAGGCGAACGACGATTCTGCTTCGAAGTGCTCTCACCTTCCAAGTAAGTCCGCAACTTGATTAATTGTCCAATAATCTCACATGTACACACTCACACACAAAATATATAAATAAATCTACACACTGAACAACAGACGATATCCTTAATAATTCTTGGTTTTTCTTTCTGTTTGCATTGAATTATTGTTGTTGTTGCTAATGGAGGAGCGACAAAAGGTGAGTCGTTTCTTTTTAAGTCAATGCTCTACCGAAGGTAATTACCGAATTTAGTGTGAGGTCCTGTTCTTGTTTCGCTTCTTTTTCGTAATTTGTTTTCCTTTTGGGTTTTATTTAATTCGTTTTGTTTGTGTCGAAGGCACGTTAATTATATTATGCGCGAGGGGAATAACGTGTTCGCGACTTCTAGCTTCCAAAATCGATATTTACGTAATTTGAAAGCATTTGCATACGGCAGTGGGAGGAAAAATGCAACAATACTAGTTCACTTCGAAAGTCAACCAGGATTAATTTATTTAAAATTATTATTGCACGCCAATGTCAGCGTGGTTTTCTGTATTAATTTATTAATTGCATGCCAGGTGTTCATTGGCTTTGATGATCCAAGTATGGAAGACAGAGAATTCTTAGAAAATCAATGCAAAAATGTAGCATACAAACATTTATAAATATGATTGTTGATTAGTAGTCTTTCACTAACATAGACGTGCCAATTAACTTGTAGTTGAACAAGTACTTGACATATAAGAAAATCACATGAATTTGTGAAACAAGCTTTGTACCAATAATTAATTATATTTAGAAAACTAAACATACAATTATGTAAAAAAATATAAACCAATTAGATCGATTTTGTTGCTACCTGTAAACAAGTTTTGTTTGTTATAAGTAAATTTCGTATGTCGCAAATTTTTTTACATTTGTGACAAACGAATTTTACAGCTTCGTTGATTGTTGTTTGTTAACATTTAACTACAGAACTTTGGTATTTTTTGAGGCAACATTTTTATATCAAATACGTTGTAGGAGTCACATGTTACAAGCGGATTCGAAGGAAATGTTCGATGCGTGGATTGCAGCTCTTCAAAAGGGAATTGGAGCTGCCATCCAGAGAATACACAGTGATAGCATGGATAGCGATGATAATAGGCAAAGTTCTACGTCGGCTTTAAGCAGTTTGAGTATTCTCAATGGAAATATTGATGGTAAAACAGAGAAAACAAGAAAAATGAGGTAATTTATAATAACGATTTTGTTGAGCTTCTTCGTAAATATTGTTTTTTTAGAATGTGGGACCAAATGGCGAAGATACCAGGAAATAATTATTGCTGCGACTGCGGCAGTCCTAAACCCAAATGGGCGAGCATCAACTTGGGTATTACGCTGTGCATAGGTGAGGATATTAGGTTTCTTCAGCAAAGTGCTAAGTTTTTAATGGCTCGTTTCATTATGCAGATTGTTCGGGAGTTCATCGGAGCCTCGGTGTTCATTACAGCAAAGTGAGATCACTGACTTTGGATGACTGGGAGCCGGAAATAATCAAAGTTATGGCCGAGCTCGGAAACGCCGTCGTGAACAAAGTTTACGAGGCAAATGTACCGGAGAATGCAGTCCGCGCGACTCTAAACTGCACGGGGTGTGTACGCAAATACTATTACGTCTTTAAGTTTATTGACTTTTGTTTTGGGTAGGCTAATTAGGGAATCCTGGATCAAGGATAAGTACGTGGAGAAGCGGTTCGTGAAGAAGGAGATTCTCGAATTTCCAACGCTGAGGTCTTCCAGGCTCACTGACATTAGGAAGTGGAGCGTGAGGAAGCTCAGGAGACGGCCGCGAAGCGTCGATGCTAAAAAGAGCAAGCGCTTTACGCAGTCAAATGAAGAAGTGAATCGACTTAAAAGCGCCGTAAGATCGAATGTTTGCAAAAAAAAATCAACATTTTAATGATTCAATTATTTCAGGATGATGATTCCGGTGTTAAGGTCGAGGCTATTAACGATTCGGATAGTAGCGACGCTTCCAGGAGGAACAGTCATTCCAGTGTTTTGCTCTTTGGTGGAGAATTCGAGAAGCAACCTTTGGACAGCGGTTTAGATTTTAGCTCGGATCAGGATTCTACTGGAGGAGAGGATGACGAAGCTTTAGGTTTGTCAGTTTAAAACAAAATGGTTATATTAATTTTGATTAGTTGTAAATCGCAGAGGAAGAAGATATTGCAAAGTTTCATCCCAATCTTCTGCTATACAAGGCGGCTGCCGCGCATAATTTGCCCGTGATGTGCGAGGCTTTGGCACTTGGCGCAGATAAGCATTGGACCAATGAGGAAGATCTGCACAGGAGTCACATTCATCAAGCTATTTTAAGCGTAAGTTTCTCTACATTATTTACTTTAACTACGAACACATGATGATACATTTAAATCTATAATGGTTTTAAATTTGCATTCAATTCATAAAACTAATTAAATTATTGGTAATATTGAAATAATGTTGAATGCAATTTTTCAATTATCCAATACTAAGAGAAGGAAGGATAAAAGGAGGGAAGGTTAATAATTAGGTCAATGTCTTCTCTTGTCTTTGCACGAGATTCGTGTGTGCGGTATGGATGTGAGAAGTTGTCAATATTTTATTTTCTTCATCTTATGGATAAAAGTACAGTTGTTTATTGTAGCACTACATTAAAGATGATTGATGAGATGTTGTTGTTCGGTTGATCTTATTCTATTTATTTAGCAGAAAATAATTTACTTGTTGTATTATTCCAGTATAAATCTTATATATTACAATTATACAATTTTTCGGTTTAACAGTTCAAACATAAGAATTTTGTAAGATAATGTTTGTATTTCTTTGTTGTAGGGTTCTGTGATGGCTCTGGCGTATTTACTGATAAACGGTGTGAAAATCAACCTGCAGGATATGCACGGCTGGACGGCCCTTCACCTCGCAACCCACAAGGGTCACACGGCTCAAGTCTGCCTCCTGCTGAAGCATAGGGCCAACCAGCATTTGCCCAACAACGAAGGTTCTCTTCCGATCGCCATAGCAGAGCTGAAAGAAAACGCCGATATCGTGACACTGTAAGCCATCTTCTTCGTGCTACAAAGTAACTTTCCTCTCTCACACACAAATCCATTTGATTTGCGTCAACCGTTCCGCGAATTGTATAACGAATGATAATGGCGAGATAAGGCGCGCGAGAAAAACACCCGCGAATTATTTATAAATCGTTTTTACGTTTTTATCATCGGCATTGATTAATTAACTACATATTATGACACTTACTAAGAGTGTGTACCATTGTGTAGCATAGAGCTCCTCCTTATCGTAAAGCGCGGTGTTATTGTTTTTGTCGCAATTCATTCATGATGATGCCCCTCTATCACTGATAGCAGACAGAGCGTTGTGAAAATAAGTGTACATATGAATGGAATGCAATTATTTATGTTTGATTGTCGCAGGTTGAGGTTGGCCCGTCTCAATGATGAGATGAAGGAGTCGGAACTGGGAGCTAGCGGCGACGATACCTTCAACGATGTCGTCCGCGACTTCTCGCAGATGGCCTGCACCCATCCTGAGCGTCTACAGAGGAATTCCAGGATCGAGGCCGAATGATCAGCCGAAACTTTAATCCAACGATTAAATCTCCCTCGAATAGAATAACCGATGATACTTATTATTACTGATATAAATATATTTTATATATGTATTTATATATACATATATATAATACATAGTCCGCTTTCTGGGGGGAACTCGCGCTTCGCTTCTTAAAAACGCAATCGATGCGACCTCAATATATTTTTCGAACGAGCAATTCTTACAGGGTTCCAACGATCACAGGGCGAGAGATTCTCTTTCTTGTACCATTCATTTATATTCCGTTACGAAATTCTCTTAAATTGAATCCGCCTGTGATATATATTTATATAGAGAGATATTTGTAATTTTATTTGTATATTATTAATTTCTGTTTATTATTCTTTTTTTTAATTATATTAAGTTTATATTAAACGAAAAAAAAATATTTGCTCAAATCGGGATGGAATTTGTTGGGTATTCAGTGTAGAAGAAAGCACTCGCAATTCCAAACGCTTATAATTCGAACTTTTAAACATAGAAGAAATTACTTTTCCAAACGACGAAAGCTTCTTTTTTATTTGTAAATTCCCCGTAAAAACGTTGATATTGATGTGGCTTACGTGTGCATTCGTTTGTCGCACACTTCTTATTAATTATTATTTTTTTTTTGGTAACGTTAATTTTTATATCTACATATATTATTATTATATTTGAAACATATTTAAAATTGTTATTGGACTCAACGTGAAAGATAAAATGCTTTTTATACTGTTTTAATCTTATTGTATATTTATTTTAGTTGATTATTACATTTGTCTAATTGCTTTATTTCAATATTGATTATCGATAATCAATATTTAATAATTTACATGATGTATTAATTGATTAAAACGTTTTCTTTTTAAACAGTTACCGATTATATTAAGTAATATATACAATATTTTACAATGTACACATTTTTGTTTACGATTTATTGTCTTAGAAATGTTTCCATTTTAATTATATATATTATTTTTTTTATTATTATTTAATAAACATTCCAATATATTATATTGATTTTTCGTATTTCATTTCCATAATATTATTTAGTACACTAAATACATTTATTCCATTATATAAGAGATGCACTTAAATGTATATGATGAAATATTCTAAGTATTTTTTTTTGTTATTTCAAATAAATACATTAAAAAAGTGCTTTTGAAAACCAACTAAAATTTCAGACATTAATTTTTTGGAAATTTGTGTTGTAATGAATTTAGTTTAAAGTGATATAGATTTTTGTAATTCCTGAAGAAGTAATTATGGAATTAATTCAGCAAAATATGTTTAACAAGAAGGGAAGAGTTGTGAGAGGATTGGGTTTGCAATGAAGAAGTGTGGATAAAAAAACAAATGTTGTTTATATTGTTGAGGTGTTTTATCGTACTTCTTTTATTTTAACGACGTCTTTGCGTCACTCTTAATACAAAATAAATAGTTATAATTAGTGAGCCCTATCTAGCGAACATCTAAATGCGATTATTATAAAAGAGAAGAAATAACGAAACAATCGTTGCGTTGGGCACAAGGTGTTTAAGTGCACACATTTATATAAGAACGTGTAAACAAACAATAATAATCTAAGGAAAACCTACGTAAACGAAGAGCTAGAAATCTACGCGTTAAACGAAATCAGGCATCTGTAAAGTATATTATGAAATGATAAAAGTACGCGACTAAAGTGAGAGACAGATAGAAATAAAATTAAAAAAATAAAACATCAATTAAAATACTGATAAACAAGAAAACCGTTTTGAATCCCGGATGGATTTCGAATAAAGCATTTTGTGGTCAGCAATGTCAACTATAATCTGAATCGAAATAAGTAATTTTGGCGTGGCGCGAAAACTGTCTTTGGAAAAATCTGCGTACGTTTAAAATAAGTTCGACTTTGTTTTGTAATTAAAAAAAAAGAGAGAAAATAATATAATTAAAGAAATAAAGAAACATGCAGAAATAATAATAATAATAATTTAAAAACAAGGAAAGAAAAATATAAGAAAATATTAGTAACAAAGAAAATATTGTTAGTTAACTTTAAACACTCCACTCGATTATCAATAAATAATTTTTGTATTTGGTTTTCTTTTGGATTGTCGATTTTTTTAAAAACGTCGCTGTTTCCTAAGGTTTTCGCGCTCTGATTTTCTTTTACATTCGTGTGCGTGTGTATTTTTGTATGTATTCGTGAGTGTGTTGATGCTTTAACAGCTAGTGTGTATAAATATTAAAAGTATCGCTTTAGTAGTTTTACAACGAAAACAAATGTGCGATCCCTGATCTCCTATTTTATAACTGGATTTTGGAGGCGTCCGGATCTCTGCATCTGTAAACGTAGGCGTTCACGGAGATGTCATCATCGGTGCGGATGCACTTCTTGTGCTTCGGACACTCGCATCTGGAAAATTGAAGAAGAGTGATATTTTAGAAAGAGATTTGTTGTTGTTATTATTGTCGATTCCATGGAATTTCGAGAGACTGTGAGTGTGTTTTGTAATTGTCGAAGACACTCTAAGGTCATCAGTGTGTATGTGTGTTCCCCGACGCAAATAACATTATTTTTACCATTGATTTATCGCAATAATGTAAACACAACCGACACATCAATAGTCGCGAAACGCAGAAAAACCTTGTTTGCGTTTTCACAAGAATACGAAACGAACGCGTCGAACTCACCGATTCCTCATGAAGTAGTCGATCTCCCTGCTGAACCTGTGATACACTGCCCATCCGCAGGGCGTGTTCTTCAGGCAGGATTCCACTTCACCATTGGCATCTTCGATCTGCAAAAAAAAGACATCTCAATGAACAAATTATTTCATTTAACCAAATTAGTTTCTTCAACTGCACGCATACGCACACGTTTCTGTTTTATAAACAAAAATTATCAAAATTGTAGTTGAAATTTCCCTTCTGTCGTAATTCCATGTTTATTAAATCAAACATAAATATTTTCTATACCAAAAATAAAATTACTATTTACAAACATCAAAGTCTTAGCTAAGTTGTTTTAGTAGAATTATTTTGATGCGTGATGAAACAAACATATTTAGAACAAAGTGTTAATTAATTTCAAATAAATTAAAGAAAAAGACCAAATTATTTCCTTAATATTAACAAACACATCTAAATTAAGTAAACGATTTTAAAATGAATCTAAATTATAAATTCCTACAAAATGAATATTGGATTGTACGAATGTAAATTGTTTTTTTTTTGCGAAGAGCGCAATGAAATTGAATGAGAAGTCGGAAGGGATGTTCTTTTCGCATTCAGTTTCACTGCTATGTTATGTTAATTTTAATGGCCGTTAGATTGGAAGTTGCGCGTTTTTAATGAAGTCTAGCTGCAGTAAATTACGTTTCCGTTAATTATTTCCGACGCGTCGCCAAGTGGAAAGAGTTTGCATATTTGCATAATCATTATTCATAAGCCCTTTCACGTTTCTTTTTTTTCTTCTTCGCCGCACCGACAGAGATCGGACAACATTGAAATTGCTTTTCGCCGTTGTCGACCAAAAGACTGATTTGCTTATCGAATCGTGCATATGATGATTATCAAATGATTATTGCAAAAATTCAGATGTGTCATCATGAAAATACGTAGATTTTGTTTAAATTTCTACAATATTTTATATAGATTTAAATTTTATCAGTTCCAAAGAAATATATAGATTTGATTCAATAAAAAGTTTTGATAAAAAGTGAGAAATATTAATAGAAATTCGATTAGATATTTTTATTTAGTCGAATCTTAGGTGTGTATTATTTGTACACAGATTATATCATTAATTACATGAATAATTTACATATTTTTTTTTTGTATTTTGTTAATGAACTGTTGTTAATTATGAAATCGTTATTGCAGTTATTTGTATAATGAACGATTAGGAAAGTTGAATGAGTTGAACAAATATATAGCTGGGGCTGCTGAGGAAACCCTCGTACTTATTCGGGTGACCAGTCTTGTGAATTGGATGGAACAGAATGCAGTTGCACATGAAAGGAGGAGTACAAGTAATTCGTATGCACAAACGCATATTAGAGTTTCCTACCCTAACTATAATGAAATGTTAACCTTGAATTATGCTGCAACTGCTTTTTCGTTCTTTTCTTTTTCCTCTTGGTGCCCTTATTACGCGTTATATAAATGCATACTGCTTCAATTCTTGTTTTTTTAAGTTGCAAATTACATACAACCAATTAAATTCAATAAATTACATATAAAAACAATTACTTATTGAAATTTCATTTTGTTTAACTTAATTAGTTAGAAAATCAATTTATTAAATTAATATAATATTAAAAACATATAATGTTTACAGCTTACGGCGATTTAAATGGTACAAATTATTATATAATAATTATTCTAATTCAGAAATATACTTTTATTATTTTCAATATTGATTGGATTTGGATTATAAAGTTCATAAATAAAGATAATAATTAAGTAATTTGTTATTAATTTTGATGATATTTAAACTTTATGTTTAAATTATAAAGTAAAATTTTAAAATATGTAGGTTTCGTTTGAAAAATAACGTTTGATTTTATAGAATGATTCGAATAAATAAAATTGATAACTTTTTGTAAAGTTGCAATAAAATAAAAAAAACTTGAAGAAGAAAGTTTTGAAGATATTTGTTTAACAACTATTTTGAAAGTTGTTTTAAGTAATTTAGATGATGGTTGTTTTTTTTTTTTTTACCTTTCCAGGAAGCCTGGATGCGTCCACTCCCGATGGAAGGGCGACGGTGAGGAGCAGAAGGACGGCGGTTGCCGCGCAAATTCTGATAGCTTTCCCAAAGATCATCTCGCAAAATCACATCGGTGGCAAAATCACCGGAATCTGTGTCGAGAAAGGGTTGTTGGGTGTTTGGACACTTTTTTTTTACGATCGAAGAGTGGTGGATGGACGGTGGTTCGTTCGTTGGGCTATTTCTGGTGGTGGTTGGCCTTTGTCGGTGCTCGAAGCTGATCACCACCGTGGTTGACGGAGACTGGAGTCGATGAAGAAGCACGTGGTTATATGTGATCGGCATTCATCCTGTGCTGCCCCTTTATAAGAAAAGGCCGCGGCGCGTCGGAAATGCGCGCGCCCCGAAACGACGACGACGGCGTCCGCCCCCGGATTTCCCCCGCGGATCCACCGCCAACAGCAGATGAAAAACAAACAAAGAACTGCAGCAACAACAACATCAACAACAAAATGAGACCAGAAATATTCAACGACGACTGATAATGCATTTAATATATATCTCTTTGCTCTGCAATTCACACGAAATGGTGGATTCTGTACGAGAATTCAAAACACAAGCAATTCTTACATATTTATGGAATTAATGTTATTGTTTTCATATTATAATAGTCTGTATTCATTAGACGTTAAACCTCCTAACTTATCATAAAGTTGCACCAAGATTACAAGTAAATACCAAAAAAATATTTCAAATTTTTCTCTATATTATTTTTTCAAGTATGCAATTTTGTATGAACTTCACGAAATAACTTAAAATGTTTACATAAAATTTACTAAATCAATTATTTAACGTAGTTTACACTTTTAAGAAAACATACTACAAGTTTAGAAGAATTGAAATGTATATAGTTAAAACTTATCAACTTTTAATTGAAAATGTATTTAAAAATATTCTAAATTTATTAATTTGTATCTAGATTGTTAAAATTTCTCCATTCATTGTTGAGACGTTATTTATTTTTATAATAAAAGTATGATGGAATATTGCAATTCGACTGTAATATACCGTAATAAGGATGTAATTGTGTCCAATTATTGGACACGTTATTTCGTGTTGGTCAATTGCAAATATAGCATAATTTAGCAAAAAAAAAGTATACAAGAAATATTATAACATTATAAAACATTTGCAATATATTTCGATATTTTCGATAGTCGGAATTAGGGCTAATACAAATTAATAAAATTGTTATTTATTATAGAATTAATTTATTAACAAATCGTTTATTTTTTAATCTAAAATTATGTAATTTTCTTGCTTAGTTCTTGTATTTAATTAATATTAACTTAATGAGTATAGAATAATTGAACTTTATTTTACTTTCAATTTAAATCCTGAATAAAAAGAACCAACGGCTATTATTCAATGTCTTGTGATTTGCGCAAACCACTTGTTAAATTGACACAAACGCAATACGTAAGAGTAAAGAGTTACGTGACCATAAGTGCATTCCATGCAAGTGCACCAATTGCGAGAAAAACCGTATAATTACAATTGAGCCGAAGACCGGACCAGACTGTTTGGTGTCTCGTACATTCATCAACGTATTACAATGTTGCATCACGCACGAAAATTGCATTCTAAATAAAGGTATCATAATTATTATTAATACAATATTTGCTAATAAATTGAATTTCCCACTATTTACAATCGGATTAGAATTGTTATGTAAATATTATAATTTCCATTCGGCTAATTAAGTTAAAGTACATTTTCGAAACAACAATTTCCACTTGTTTACCAGATTTGGCAATAATTATACAAATATTTACCGGACCTTCCAAATATAAACGCACGATAAATTCGTTCGGGAAAACATTTGTCGTCTTTTCACTTTGATTTTGATTTGTTTCAATTGGATCGGCGCATTTCATGATAAAATAAAATATGTAGAACATTGTACAAATATTTCAAATTCATTATTTTCAAATAATTTAAACTTAATACTTAAGTCATTGAGTTGTTTGCAATGTATAAAATATAAACTAAAGTAATTAAAAGTTCAAAGTAATTGTTAACTTCGAATGGAATGAAACCTGCAAAGTTTCAGGAAAACCCACTGTTTGTCCCAAGAGTTTTCTTGTTTGCTATAAGTTGGAGAAGACAGAAAAAATAAATTGAATTTTAGTTGATCCGAGGAAAACATTATATGTTTTTAATATTATATTAATTTAATAAATTGATTTTCTAACTAATTTATAATTTATTGAATTAAATTGGTTGTACTTTCTGTTCTTTGATGAATTATTACCATAGTTTCGAATCTATGTAATAATGGATGAAAAGGAAGAGCGTTTGAGTAATTGCATTTGCTCCTCGGCAACAGAAGTGCGTGAATACGAGGAGAGGAGTACTAAAAATATATATGTATACACTATGATCTGCGAAGTAGTTAAGAGGTATAGCATTTCAGTCGTTATTTAATTTAATGTTATCTTATGATCGGTCATTAAGTGCAAGTAAATGTTGAAGAGAGATTTATTTCAGGAGGATGGATGGATGGAAGCAATCTTCGATCGTTAAATAATTACATAGGATTTTCGCATACTGGACACAGACGGAAAGCCGGCCTCGGTGTTTATCTTAAATATCCGTTTCACGCATTCTCAGGATCATCATCATCATCATCATTATAATTTCGACATTCTGTTATGCTTCTTCCTTTCATCGCTCGAAACCTCCTTCCGATATTGCAATTGCGGTGCACTCTTTCTGTTTGTTATTTATTCTTTTTTAATCGCAAGAAGTTACATTCATTATGAGTCTCATACAATGTTGCGGCTACATTTCACTCGTGCGTTTTACGAGCAGACAACTCGATCTGCATTCACGTATGTATAAAACCAAGCGAGATATTATTTTGATTTAAAAAAAAAAATGCACTTCAAGAGAATCTTTTATTTTTCCAATTGAGTATACAAGAAAAAATATGCAATTTAGCTTTTTACAGCTTTATTCATTGCAATTCAGTATAATACGTACAAATAAGCTACTTAGTAAGTTGTTAATAATTGCATTTTGTATTCATTAATTAAGTCAAAAGTTTTGAAGTAACAATAGTTAAAAACTTTGCATATTTACACACATTTTTCAGAGATTTCAAGTTTCATTACCAAATTATTGAAAATTAATTTTATATCTACTTTTATTTCTGTATTAAATAATAGTAACATTTAATAAAACGTAATAAAAATAATACAAATATGTATATATTTTATAATACGAAAAATTATTTGATTTCAAACATAGAAACAAAAAAAATATAAAAATTCTTATAACTAAAATTTTTAATGTAAATTACTCATAATTATTGAAATAATTAAATTTTTTTAGCAATACAGTTGGATGAGGCTAGTTTTATATCGAAAATAGAGTGAAAAATCAAAATAAAAAAGTATTTAGAAATATTTTATCAACTTTTTTAGTATTTAATAGTTTCCTACATGTATTCACGTGTTTCTAATAGAGATATTAATTAAGTAAAGCAACTTTTATTCGACATCCACATTAAGTTTTATTTTTCCATTTTGGGTTATAAACCGAATTCTCTGTCTCTGTCAATATTTCACTAATTAAGTTCACTAACAAACTTAATGATTGTATTAGATAATTGCAGCAGTTTCGAAAAGATTTAAGCAGTTAAATCTAATCTTAATCTAATTCAAATTTATATAATTATATTAAAAATTGATAAATTTATTTCATTATTAAGGATAAATTATAAATCTAATTAATAAGTGGCTGATGTTTAACATTTATATTTTAGCTGAACTAATTTAAGAATTAATTGAACACGTGTAGTTCGGAATGAGTTATAACATAAATTTGCATTGGAAAAATTTAAAAAAAATGTGCGCCGTCCGAACATCCCATTTGTTGTAGTGCATTGAGAATCTATAGCGTTGTAGCTACAATAATAATAATAATCTGTACATAAGTTGATTGGATTTTGTAACACAACATGGATGCTGATCATCTGACGCAAATAAATTACGGTTCGATAATTGCGATGATTTATTGGCCATTGAACGGCGATCGTCCAATCGTTACATCGACTGATCAGCGTTTTGTTCCGATCTATGCAAACGTCCCATTGGTAGATTGACCATTTTTTCGCTGATAATCCACCACGCTTGGCTCCATCCACTCCAGTTTTGCAGCCAACCGGTGATCAAGATAACGTGCCAGGAGAAACAACGAAAACAAAACGAGGAAAAAAGGAAAGGATCGCGCATTAATTGCGTTCGAATTCTGAAACTTCCTTAATTAATATTAACGAGCAAAAGCGGTTCTCCTCTTCCCACTCATTCGTTTTCTCTCTCTCATTTTTCATCGATTATCCTTTTATTTTTCTGCTGCATTGCTCCTCCTGCTCTAAGTGTCAGGACCTTATTATCTTCTACTTCTAGGAACGTATCTCTCGCTCTGCACACTGACGCAACGATTCTCGTGAATTTTACTTAATCTCCACTATTTTCTTTTATCTTCTCCCACGGACGCAATAATGGTGAAATTCTTCCTTTTATCACAAAACCGAAAGAATGTGGATTCATCACTGCATCTATCAGCGTTGAAACTATAATCTCTAAAAACCAATTCATACACAAATTACCTAATTAGAAAACATGATGCAATTATTCTTATAAATTAATCATAATTTCTATAATAATTTCTAAAAACTAAGAATAATTTGGAAAAATTTCCATTGTTTGCATCAGAAATTCAATAATTTATAAAATACAATAAAGTTACATAAATTTGAATTATTTTGAATGCATTTAATAAATTTAACCTAAATTAATGTTCCACTTTCTATATCAGTTTTAATGGTATTTTTAGTAATGAAATATTTAGATAACACGAACGCTTTCCAAAAATATATAGGATGAAGTTCACGAAAAAATAAATATTTGTACTTAAATATTGTTTCAATCAGCAAATTTCAATTAATCAATCTTCTTACATTCTCATTTACTTATTTAAATGAAAATATTAGTTGATGATTCATTAATTATTATTATAATTGAGAGAAGTTAGAAAATATTAATAATCTAAAGTTAATTAACTAATTAAACAAATTCTTGTGATAGTTTTAATATATTATGAATTTTTATTAAATCGAATATAAATAACTGAAAAATTACAGAAATATTTGCATTTTGTAACAATTCGTATAAATTTTAAAATATAACTTTAGAAAATTTGTTATAAAAAAAAACTAAAATATTATTAATTTTCGTATTAAACGAATGATAATAGATTAATGAGTGAACGGAAAGATTGAAGTAAGC